AGCCAAGGGCTCAGCCAATCACAGCTGAATGATCAACTAATCACAGGCTGTGAACTGGCCAGACTAGTTGGAATAAGGGAAGCTTCCAACTATAAGGTACGATACCTTTTTTCCGCCAATAAATACAGCCTGCCCAGTTGGAGGACTCTGAGGTTTCTATGGTTCAGGGTTCTGCCTAATTTGTGAATTCTTTCTTGGTGCCAATGAAACTTTTAAAATTTTATTTTGGGCTAGGTGTTGTGGCTCATGCCTTTAATCCCAGCACTTGGGGGGCAGAGACATGTGGGTCTCTGTAAATTTGAGGTCAATCTGGTCTACATCATGATTTCCAGACCAGCTGGGGCTACATAGTGAGACCCTATCTCAAAAATAAAACAAAATTTTAAAAGCTACAAACACAGAAACCCACCTAAAATTATATTTAAAATTGTCGTTTAGTCTGAATATGTCTTTGAACAGGCCTTAAGACCTTACTACCTGCCTGCTCTTTCTTTTTTTGCAGGGGATGGGAGGCAGAGTCAGGGTTTTATGTAGCTGAGGCTAGCCTTGAACTCCTGATCCTCCTACCTTTACCTCCCAAGTGCTGGGATTGTAGGCATGCACCCTGCACCTGGCCTACCTGCCCTTTCTCAGGCAGGACCCAAGAGGAAGAGTTCTTGGCCTGTGGTCACAGGAGCAGCAGCACTACTGGCCAGACACATGTCCCTAGCCTTAGGTTTGAGCCCAAAAGCTGGAGGTGGGGTACCTAAATATTGTCACCTTACAGGAGGTGAGCAGCAACCCTGTCCTGGGACATGGGGAGAAATCTTCCCACCCCAAAGAAATTGGACCACAACTTCCCTCAGTCTGCTCTGTTTTACCAACCCTGGGGACCACCTGCCCAGGGTGGTACCTCCCACAGTGGGCTGAGCCCTCCCACATCACTCATCAACCAAGAAAATGTCCCACAGAAACGGTCACAGGCCAATCCAAGGGAGAAAATTCCTTAATTAAGGTTCCCTCTACGCAGGTGTGTAAAATTGACACCTGAAGCTGTCCAGCACACACCCTAACCTCTGAGTCACATCTCCAGTCTCATGACTCAGTCTTTATAGCCCAGTGGTCATAGTAACTGTCCTGACCACATGACCCTCCCAGGCTGACAAGATCTATTGGTTTTGGCATCAACTTCCACCATGATCCACTTTGACATCAGCTCCATATCCTCAGGTCATGAGTGGACATAGCCTGGAGGTCATACAGCTAATCAGGGGCTCACACCAGTATGAGGCCTGGCCTGGCATGTAGCTCCCTTTCCAAGGAAGCTTCCAGATATAATAATAGGAATGAAATCTTTGTGCTTTGGATTTGAAAGGGTGCCAGTGGGCTGCATTATTCCTGTGTAAGAGAAACACTTCAGTAACAAATAAGGACCGTGACCATGGTAACTTCAGGTAGAAAAACAGCAATAAAGAGGCTCATCCAGATAGGATGAGCTGGGCAGTCAACAACCATGTTAAGGAAGGCAGTAATGAGGGCTGGGGAGATGGCTTGGAGGGTAACAGTGCCTGCTATGCATGAAAGTCCAAGCTCGAATCCTCAGTACCCATGTGTCCTAGTTTGTTTCTCCATTGCTGTGACAAAACACTCTGACCAATACCAACTTGGGGAGGAAAGGGTTTATTCAGCTTACATCTCCTGGGTCACAGTTCATCAGGGAGCCCAAAGTAGGAACTCAGGGCAGGAATCTGGAGGCAGGAGCTGGAGCACAGGCCATGGAGGAACGTTGCTCACTGGCTTGCTCCCTTTGCCCAGACTCAGCCTGCTTTCTTATACAACATAGGCCCACATGCCCACAGGTGGCAGTGCCCACAGTGGGCTGGGCCCTCCCACATCACTCAATAATCAAGAAGATGCCCCACAGACGTGGCCACAGGCCAGTCCTATGGAGGCAATTCCTCAATTGAGGCTCCCTCAACCCAGGTGTGTCAAATTGACACTAAAGCTCGGTGGGGGGGTGTTGAATGAAAATGTCCCACATAGGCTCCAAATATTTGGATATTTTGTCCCCAGATGGTGGCACTGTTTTTGGAGGTCTTAGAAGGTGTGGCTATCCTGGAGGAAGCACATCACTGGGGGTGGGCTTAGGGGGTTCTTAAGCCTTGCCGGATCTCCAGTTGCTCTCTTGCTTCCTGTGCCTGCTGGAAGATGTAGAGCTCGGCTTCTGTTCCTCCTCCAGCCACCTCTGCTGCCATACCTCCTTGCCATGATGGACTAATTCCCCTGGAACATAAGCTCAAATAAACTCTTCCTTCTATAAGTTGCTTTGGTCAGTGTTTCTAGAAAGAGAAAAGTGACTAATATACCATGTAAAAACAGAGCGTGGCTGCCCATGCCTGTAACACCAGTATTGGGGGGTTAGAAACAGGAGGATCCTGTGAGCTCCCTGGCTAACTTCAGATTGAGTGATGGATTCTGTGTCAGGAAATAAGACAGAGAGTGATAGAGCCAGACACTGACAATCCTCCTCTGGTCTCTGTATGCACCTGTACACACAGGCACATACCACATGCACACAGCATACCATGTACACACAAAAGGCAGTAATGGGCCGAGGGAAAACTCAAATCCACCCTCTAGCTTCACCTGCTTTTAGTTACTTGTTTTTGGTCAATCATAAAAATCACTAACTCGGGTTGGAGAGTTGGCTCAGTGGTTAAGAGCACTGACTGCTCCTGCAAAAGACCTGGGTTCAGATCCCAGCACCCACATGGCAGCTAACAACTGTCCTAACTCCAGTTCCAGGGGATCTGATGACCTCTTCTCTCCTCCTTGGGCATTTCACAACATGGGTGCACTTAAACACATGCAGGCAATACACTCAATACACATAAAATATAAATAATAAATGAAATTTTTAAAAAATCACTAACTTTGGGCTCACTCAGCTGGTTTCCCCAGTAGTCTTATTGGAGGTAACACCTCTGACCAGTGGGGCACATTAATAACAGTGGCCTAGGTTACTTTTAGGTACATGTAGTGACCCTCCCTACCCCCACCACCAGCCCTTTTGAGACAAGGCCTCATTCTACAGACCAGACCGGCCTCCAACTTGTGAGCCTCCTGCTTCAGCCTCCTAGTGCTGAGATTACAAAGGAGGCATTGCCACACCCAGCCCTGAAATAACACTTAACTGATGTCAGATTCATCCTCATATTCAGTGGTGATCAGTCCCTCCCTTCACACTGTTCACCGTAGATCCTTTTTTTTTAAATTTATTATTTTTATTTTATGTGTATGTATGTATTGCTTGCATGTAGGGAAGTGCACCCTTCATGCAATGCCCTCAGAGGTCAGAAGAGGGTGTGGGATCCCCTAGAACTGGAATTACAGATAGTTGTTAGCTGCCATGTGGGTGCTAGGATCTGAATCTGGGTCTTCTGCCAGAACATTCAGTGTTCTTAACAACTGAGCCATCTCTCCAGCCCCCTAGATCTTTTTTACTTACTATTTTCTTTTATTTCTTTGAGACAGGGTCTCAATGTAGCCCAGGCTGACCTCGAACTCAGTAAGTAGCCACCTTGAAGTCCTTAACTTCCTGCCTCCATCACCTGAGTTCTGGGGTTGCAGGTGCGGACCATCATGCCTGGATATAGTACTCTACTTTCCCCTACTTAATGGCTCAAGTCTCTCCCTCACTCAGCCCCTGGGAACTCCTATTCTCCCTGAGAATCTCAGGTCATCCCTGTCCCTGTCTTGCCTCACTCCCTTGAGTCCCGAGATACCTCACTTCGATTTAGTATCACATCACTAAGCAGGTACCACCCATCTCAGCCTCCATAGCCTTACCCACCCCCCTATCTACACATTTTGTCCCCACCTTCAGGCTCTTTTAGGTTCGCTCTTCCAAAGGAACTTGGAAGCTGGTCTTCCCCTCTCTACCTGGTCAGGATCCCGGTTAATAACTCTTGGGTACCAAGAACTTATCTCATTACTGGATCACACACTTGGCAAGTGTTTATGGAGTACCTAGTGTGTGCTAGGCTCTGTACTCGGCTCCAGGCACGCAGGGAACTGACTGCAAAACAAGGTCCTGACTTGGGGAACACCGGCTTCCCTTTCACTAAGATGGGGGAGGGTTGAGCATGGATGCAGATAACCTTGAGTGAACAGGTGAGATAACTCAAGGGCCGTAAAGAACACTCTAGGGGTCCGAGAGTTGGCAAAGCGGTTGCTCTTCGAGACGACTAGGTTTCACTTCCCAGCACCACCCACATGGTAGCTAACTAGTTCCAGTTGGATAGACGCCCTCTTCTATCTTCTGGGGGCATTGCACGACACGGGTGCACTTACACACAGGTAATACACTCATAGACATAATTTTTTTTGAAAGACCACTCTGCACGTGGCGCGTTGGCGTGACAAGAGCAGGGTCAGAGCAGGCCTGGCTGCACTGGGGACATTTGAACCGTAATCCGGAGCAGACCCTGGCACACATGGGGATTTGCTCAGGCAGGGAAAGGCCGGTTCAAAGGCCGGCGGGGCGGGGCGGGGCTGCGGCCGGAACCTGCTGGCGGGTTCTGCTGGCCGCGCCTCGAGGGCAGGGAAAGGCCGGTTCAAAGGCCGGCGGGGCTGCGGCCGGAACCTGCTGGCGGGTTCTGCTGGCCGCGCCTCGAGGCGCGATCTGACGCCTGGTCTGCAGGACCAGCTCTGTGGGTTCCGAAGTCCGAAGGTCCGGAATTTTATTTTATAGCTTATCAAGATGGGGGCGCCATCTTGCGCCCTTTACGGGGTCAAGCCTAGGCCTGGGGGAGACCAGGCCACACAGCGGCGGCGCGAGAGCAGCCCTCCAGGCCCGGCCGAGGCCCTTACCGGGCCGCACCACCGACCTGTACAGCTCAGCGCACCGAAGGCCTCGTCCGGGCCCCGCAGGCCGGAAGTGGGCGTGGCACCATCTGGTCCCGCCCACCATCGCGCTCCTGACTGGCTCCGCGGCTCGGTCCCGCCCCCGAGGTGATGCGGCCTGGGCGGATCGTTGGGGGAGCGGCCGGCGGTGCCGCGACCGAGCCGGTGCATAGCGGTGCAGCCACCTTCTCCACCGCCGCCATGGGGGCCCAGCTGAGCACGGTAGGCGGCAGGGCCCGATCCCGGCTCCCCGCACCTCCACCCCGCCCCCCGCGCCGCGACCGGGCCGGCGGCTCCACCCGGCTGGGCCCTGTGAACCCGAGACTCTGGGGCCCGAGCCCGGGGCGGACCCTGGGGTGGGGGACGACCTTCCTGGGTGTGCCCCTGACTGTGTGGCCGGGCATGAGGGACGTGTATGCCTGCGTGAGTGGGCGTAACTTGGGAGACAGAAAGTTGGGATGACTGGGTCCGTAGGGGGTGTGAACTGCGTGCTCGAGTGCACACGTGGGGTTGTGTGACTGGGAAGTGTGCGCGTATGTGCCCTAGTGTGCACGTGAAGGGAGCGTGAAAATGTGTGGTTGGAGGAGCCAATAGGTGTGGATGTGAGTACTCGAGCGTATAAATAGTGAACAGGCATGAGCGATCATAGACGATCAGAGGGCTCGGGCGCATCTTCTTGCCACAGAAATGCTGGTAGCTGCCCAGATCCTTCTGTGCTGTCATTTTGATGCTGTCAGAGTTGGCTGGGGACCCGGCAGCCTGTGACAAATTGCTGTGACTCACACCACAGCAGTACTGTCCCTGGAGAGGTACCACTCAGCCTTGGCCACCAGCCCACAGCTTGAGGGAGCTGGGGCCTGTAGGTTCCAACGTCTACCCTCTTGCTATCACTCTGGGTTGGCCCAGGCCCCCTCCCCACCCCCTGAGGCCACCTCCTCTCCCTGATTTCCCAAGAGCACCCTTATGAAGTATGCCCCCCACACACACACCCTGGCCTTGAGATGCCCAGCTCCCTGGGTGTGGGAAGATTAAGCTAGCACCAACCTTGAAGGGAACCCTCCTCCCTGCAAGTTCCAGGCCTGGGGGTGGGGTGGGGGATAGGCTAAAAGCTCGAGTGAGTGTAGCCATCCCAGAATGCCAGGGGCGTTCTGCCCAAGGAGCAGCCTAGCCCAGGGCAAACCTATAGCATCACTCCAGGGTGACATCACCCCAGAATGACATCTGGGCAGTTTCCTCAGAGACTGCCCACTGCCTTCTGCCCTATCCTGCTTTCCAGGCCCTCCTTACCTCCTGGCCCATGTTGATGGGTTTCATGGCATCCCCAGCACCTGGCTGTCCCATGCATCCTTGTTAAGCTGACAGTGGTTTCCTGAGGGCAGCAGAGCCCTGTCTAGTAGTCAGGAGACCACCCACCCTTGGTCTTATCTGTCCAAGGGGTCCTAGGTATTACCCCGTCTTATGAACCCTGCTGGGGTCCCACTTGGCCCCCAATACCTATAGCATACCCAGTCTCCTATCCTGGAGGTCCATTCATTTGTGAGTGGTTGCTGGGCACTTGGTGAACCAGATGTCTTATCTGGACCATGCAGGCCCTGTGGGAGGCCTCCTGCATATACTGGAGGCCCCAGCCCAGATGGTACTTAAGTCTGCCAGCCATCTGGAAAGAACGTCGAGGGCCTGGCCTGCTGTCCTGCCTCTCTGCCTGTCTGTGAGTGTCCAGTGGACCCGACAGACCCATTCCCCCTGTAGAGTGTACAGGCCTTCCCACTGGCTCCTGGCAACTCCAAGCCTTGTTTGTGGCTTAGAACCCACAGGGGGTGGCTCAGCTATCCACCTGTCTGTCCTCTGGGGCTCCTTCCCCCACAGTCTGGATCCCAGCCTGGAGTCCCTCTGCTGCAGGACTTCCTCCACTTCCTCCCACTTAAAAAAAAAGAAAAAAAAAAAAAACAGGACCAGGAGGGCGGTGGTCACTTGGATCCTGGCAGCACAGCAGGCAAGTAGATGGTGGGTGAGTAGCTGGTAGGCAAGTGGGTAGTGGGCAGGTAAGCGAGTGAAGTGGTTGGTTTGTGTGAGCTCAGGTCAGGGAGCTGGCATGTGAGGGGCACCAGGCTTTCTGCCCACCTCCCCTACCTGGCCTGAGCAGAGTAACCTTCAAGGTCCTAGTGGGGAAATGCCAGAGCGGACAGGTGGGAAGGGTGTCCCTGTGGGTGAAGAGCAGGCTGTTGAGTCCCTCAGCTATGATGAGTGAGCTGGGGACTCTCCAGAGACCCTGGTACCCAGTTTGCTTCCACCCCCTCTCTGTGCTGTCAGAAAGAAGAGGCAAAGGTAGGCTCCTTGGTGTGGCAGAGTGTGGCCCACAGGACATCAGGTCAAGGCTTGGGAAGCAGCTTCCCTCAAGGTCTAGAAACTGACTAGAATCGGTGGGACGTTTTGTGTGTGTGTGTGTGTGTGTGTGTGTGTGTGTGTGTGTGTGTCCAGCTGAGGAGCTGAGCAGGGCCTTGTCCCCTGCCATCTGCCTCCTGTTTACTTGGCTACTGCTGGTGGGGGTAGGGTGGTACTGTGGACATGGGGGGCAGAGCCTGTTCATCCCATGCTGGTGAGGACAGTATACCCCACCCCAGCCCTTTTTGAGTCTGGTGAGGCCTCTGACTTGTGGAGACCAAGCCTAAACCTTCTACTGCTCTTGGCCTTGGTGCCCCTTCCCTGTGAGTGGGTCTTTCTTCCCCCGTAGCTGGGGTTTGTTAGCTAGGATGACTTGCCACAGTTGCCTCTTCAGATAGGATTTTTTGTACAGAAAAAGTTGACCTCTTCCCCTCTCAGTGGCCAGAACTGTCTCTGGGCTCAGGCTTGTCACCTGAGCCTGTGTTTCCTCATCTCTGATGGGAGTGGTGGTAGCAGCTGCCCATGCAGCCTGAAGGCTGAGGTAAGAGGGCAGTGCCGGCCAGGGCTGTTGGGAGCAAGTGGGAGGCGGGTCCTGCAGGTTCCTGCTCCTGGAGGCTGGGCTTTCTGAGCATGGTTTGTGTGAGCTCAGGTCAGGGAGCATGCTTCTGAGCATGCTCCAGGGCCAGAGGCAGGCTCCAAGGCCGGTAGGGCCGAGGCTTTGTAAGACAGATAGGATAGGCCAAGTCCTGCCTAGTCCAGGGAGCAGTCTGGGCTTTTGCCTATATTCTGAAAACTTCTATACAAAACAAAAAGTCAGAGAGACATGAGGGGTTTGGGGGAGGAATGTTGTCCCTTCACGAATTCATTCCACAAATATTTGCTGAGCGCCTCCTGTGCCAAGTGCTAGGAAAGTGGTAACCAGACAACCTCAAGTTACCTAGAGATGGAGAGCTGGCCAGTCAGCCCAGAGCCCCTAACACATGGGTGTCTTCCTAGGCTCCACCCTCAACACTGGACAGCACTGGTAGGCTTAGATTGAGTGAGGGTTGCGGGGCAATCCGTGCATAGAACCAAGTCCCAACCCCACCTTGGACTCCCCTGAGTGTCCTTTGTCAAATGGGGACACAGGAACAACTAACTGCACTTTTGTATTGTTACTTTTCTGTTGTGTTAATATACTGTGACCATGGATGGGGCTGAAGAGATGCGCCCCCCCCCCCAGGTAAGGGCACTGGCTGCTCATGCAGGGGACCAGGGTTGGGTTCCCAGCACCTACATGATGGCTAACAACCATCCATAACTCCAGTTCCAGGGGAATCCGATGCCCTCTTCTGGCCTCTGTAGGTATTGCATGACATGGGTGCACTTACATACATGCAGACAAATCACTTATGCACACAAAATAAAAAGAAATCTTTAAAAAAGATACCATGACCAAAAGAGTTTATTTCCAGAGGGCTAAAGTCCAAAGTGTTGGGGAAGGCATGGCTGCTGAGGGATCACATCTTAACCATAAACAGGAAGTGGGGTGAGGGTATACCCTCAAAGCTTGCCCCCGTGATGTATTTTCTTCAGCAAGGCTGTTCCTCTTCTGACAGCCAACTGGGGACCAAGAGTTCAAATGCATGAGCCTAAGGGGAACATTCCTCATTCAAAACACAACAGCAACCCTCTGTAGACGATCAGGAACAAACCCAGGTGCATGGGAGGCCAGGTGTAGTTGAGGGGCCTTCGGCTATAGTAAACCGTCATGTGCCCTGAAACCGTCCTGCTGGGGAAGATAAAATGGGGTGCACCCAGCACAGGTCCAGTTGGTGTACGGTATCATTGAGGCTTATTTCCAGGGCTCCCAAGAGTGGCTATTTATTGCAAATATGCCTCTGTTTACCTCCTTCCCCAAGCTGAGTGCTATATGGATACAGCTCCGCTGCCGTCTGTAGCAGAGGAATTGCCGGAATGGTCAAGGCTGTGAAAAGTCACCAAGGGCCTGGTTAGCCAGCTGGGCATGGCGTCTCAGGGAAGATTTGACCTTTGAGTTGTGCTCTGAAGGATGCATAGCAGTCTGCTGGTTGGATGTGTCCAGAAGCAAGGCATTTGGGGAGAAAGAAAACCACAAAGGCTGAAGTCAGGTGGGCTGATGTGGAGGGGGGCAGGGGAGGGTCTGGGGTCGGAGCGGCAGGACAGGTGCCTTGAGGAGTGGAGCAACCTGTTGGTTTGGGCGGCAGGGCCTTCCTGCAGGGGCAGGATATTGAGATCTGGGCTCTGGGCTATGACCAGGGCAGAGCAGGCACCTGTCCCTGAGGTGGGTCAGGAAGAGCAGAACTGGACTGGACCAGCCAGGAGTCAAATCCTGATTGCATTCACTGTTGCTTTTGTGACCTTAGCCAGTCACTTGCTGACTCTGAGAAAGTGTCTGTCTGGTGGCATGAATATGGTACTCAGGCTGCAGTATAACTTGGGGCAGGTTACCACCTTCTAGCCTGCCCTCTCCTGTAACCGTCACACTTATAGGAAAGGCTGAAGTGGGAATATAGTCTTGTCCTTGGAGCAGTGCCGGCTTGGGGTCGGTGTCTGCTGTTTGCTCTGTGCATAACCTTTTGAAGCCTCATCCACTTTCTTCTCTAGTCTCCCCTTCCTGAGTCCTAGGCTGGGGCTCAAACCTGGGTCTCCCTGACCTAACAGTCCATAGTTGTCAACTCTGTCCTTCAAAGAGCCTCAGGACAGAGGAGGTGCTTGCATGGTGCAGGGCACAGTGGGTAAGGCTCTGACTTGAGCACTATGGGCCTCAGCTGGCCCGTTTTAGGCCCTTGTGTCACATACCAGGGGCCTGTGAGGTGAGGCCTCAGCTGGGAGGGAGACATTTTATTCTAGGCCCAACAAAGGGCCTGTGATTCCCCAGAGAGCTTGAAGCTGCAGGGAGGGTTTCAGAGTGGGAGGGGATGTCAGGCTGGCTGTCCTTCCTGGTGGGGGCCCACACTTCTCAGGTTGCATACCCCACTGGGAACTGGGCCCCCAGCTTAGCTTCCTGCTCCCTGGGAGCGGGGCTTCATCCTGGGTATCACCTTCCTTCTGTAGACAGGACAAGAGGCCAAGCCAGAGTGCTCTCCACAACTGTTGGAGGCTGGGGAGTCCTGACTGGACTTTGAGGGAGGTGGGCAGAGGGGCTGGGCTCTTGATAGAATATGTTACTTTAAGAGATACAGCAGGGTCAGCAAGAGGGCTCAGCGGGTAAAAGTACTTGCCATGCCTTCTGATGAACTGAGTTTGATCCTTAGAGTTCACGGTGGAAGGAGAGAACCAAATCTGGAAAGCTGTCCTTTGACATCCACATGTGAACCGTGATATGTGTGCACATACACAAATACACATACACGCATACACACTAATAATAATAAAGTAAGATTTTAAGAAAAGGCTCCCACCAAGGTTGCAGAGGAGCCTCCATGTGTGCAGAGCACTTGGTTCTGAGCTGCCTTGCTGCCAAGGTGAAAAGGAAAATATTTGATAAGAAGAAAACACAGTCACTTAGCAGGAGAAGTCAGGGGGTCTAGGGAAGGTGAGTGGCCCAGCTTTGAGAGCCATCAGTTTATGGAAACTTTGCTTCCTCATCTCTGTCTGAACCTCGAGGATGCCCCACCCCAACACTTTATTTTGAAATAATTTGAGAGTCATTAAGGATGTTAACATTTGCTCTGTTTGCTTTCTACATATATCCAGTACCCTTCAGAGGCTGGATACGTGTACTTGTGTTAAGCTGTTTGAGAGTGCTTTGTCCCCCCGCCCTCCCCAGTACGTCGGTGTGTCTCCTTATACCAGGAACATCCATTTGCATGACCAGAGTAGAATCAGGCAGGTAACTGGACACATTTATCTACTCCACAGTCCTCCCAGTCACCAGATGTCTTAGCATTGTACTTTGAAGGAGTTGCCTGGCTTGGGATCTACTCTGACACCATTCGTTGCCTTCTGTCGTTCTTTTTTCTTTAGCCAGGGTCTCGTGTAGCCAGATTGACCCTGAACTCCCTATGCAGTCAAAGATGACTTTGATCCTGATCCCCCTGCCTCCGCCTGGGATTACAGACATGCATCACCATGCCCAGTTTATACAGTGCAGGGAGGGAACCCAGGGTGTCGTGCATGCTAAGCAAGCACTCTGTCAACTGAGCTACATCTCCAGCCTTGTTCTATGTCTTTGAAACAGAGTTCTGAAGTCCAAAGGCCGCTGTTACAATGTCATCAGGACTGAGTTCCCTTTGAACATCTGGGGAGGTCCTCATTACAGACTTGTGGGGTACATCATCCTACCCTCCACTTTCTTTTAGAAAGACATTTGTCATAGGACTTAGGGTCCCCTTATAATCCAAGTATTTGCATCTCAAGACCCTTGATGCAATTATATCTGTAAAGCCCCTGTTCCAAATAGGCCCACCACAGGCCGCAGAGATGGGACCTCCTTGCATGGTGCACCGTATGGGTGTCTCCCTCTGTGATGTGCACTGGTTGGGTTGGTATCCTGAAGCTTTTCTTGTTTCTGCCTGAGTCTCACCTGTGGTCTGGGTAGGTGAGGCTGCTAAGGGCCAGACTTGCAGGTGGCAAAGGGCAGCTCTGGCCAGATATCATGGGATTGGTCTGGCCTAGCCCTGGAGTGGGCGTTCCCCCCGACTTGTTTCCAGGCCACACAGCCACCATGATGTGGCTTATGAGCCCCATTTCACAGATTGAGAAACTGACTTGGCAAAACTGAATATGGCCCACAGGGCTGGCCACACAGCGAGGCAGGGTGAGGCCGGGGTTCCCTCTGCCAGGGTGCTCCTCCCATGCAGGGTGTTTTCTGGCCAGAAGATTGAGGTTCCTGTCCTATTAGTCACTTTTGTGACCAAAATATCTGACCAAAATAATTTTAGCAAGAGGAGACATGCTTTGACTTGTGGTTTCAGAGTTTCGGTCCTTCATGGTGGGGAAGCTGCGGCGGTGAGAGTAGGAGCCTGTGGCCAAGGCTGTTCACATAGCGGCTGACCAGGAAGCAGAGGGTGGAGCCAGGGACTGGGTGTAAACTTCAAAAGCCTGTCTGCACCAACCCACTTTTTCTGGCTAGGCCACACCTCTTAAAGGTTTCACAGCATCCCAAAACAGCTGCTACAAGCTTGGGGAACCAGTGCTCAACGTTGGAGTCTGTGGGGACTTTTAGATTTAAATTAACACCTGTGCCAGCTCCTGGGGTCTTGTTAGATGTGCAGACTTGGTAAGGAAAGGCCTCTCAGCCAATAGGAAGTGGCATGGACCTATATCCTAGAGCCTTGTCTGGAAGGTGGTGGACTTGGGTCCCCCAGCTCTGTGACTGTGGGTGAGTCGCTCTACCTTTCTGAGCTGGTAACTCTTCTATAAAGTGGTGGTGAGTTACTACCTGTGTGGCCACCAGTGTGGTGCCGGCATCCAGGTGGCTGCTGGCCTTGGAATCTGAGTGGTAGTCTCAGGACCCTGTAGATCACCTTGTCTGGGCCAGTTCAAAGAGGGGAAGGGACTTGCCCAGGGCCACACAGGAGAAGTACTCAGCACGGTACCTCAGCTGCCCACAGAGCTGAAGGCAGAGCCCAGCATCAGGGAAAGGCTCAGTTTACCCAACCTCACTGGCTTATTCTTGTAGCTCTGAGGGGAGCCAGGAGGAGAAAGTGGCCTTGGGAGAGTCTGAACCTGAGCTGTTGTTTGTGGACTAGGGTGTGGCTCAGATGGTACAGCACCTGCTTAGCATACTTGAAGTGCTTGGGGGGTGGAAGCTTGAGGATGAAGAGTTCAAGGTCAGCCTGGGCTACGTGAGATCCTCTCTCAAGAAAAGGGGAAAAAATAGAACTAGAGCTTGATGTCATTTACTAGGACCAGAGAAACTGACTCAAAGAAGAGACCGTGGATATGCAATGCAGCACTGAGATTAATTTTACTCTGAGCGTCCTAGCAGCTGAAGTGAAAATTAGCATGTGTTCAGATATATAGCTTATTTTATTTTTTTATTTATTTTGGTCTTTTTTAGAGACAGGGTCTTCCTGTAAACCCCAGCTGGCCTGGAACTTGTGACGTAGACCAGGCTGACCTTGAACACTCAGAGATCCTCCTGCCTCTGCCTCCCAAGTGCTGGAATTAAAGGCGTGTGCCATCATGCCCAGCACTCAGATATATAGTTTTCTGGTTTTTTTTGTCTTTTTGAGACAGGGTCTCCCTGTAGCCCCAGCTGACCTTGAACTTGCTGTGTAGACCAGGCTGGCCTCGAACTCACAGAGATCCATCTGCCTCTGCCTCCCGAGTGCTGGGATTAAAGGTGTGCATCACCACCCCCAGCTCAGATACATGATAGGTAGAGAGCGGGTGGGAGCGAGTGGGTGGATGAAGGCACCGAGGCACAGATGGAATTCTCAGCCAGATACAGATTTATTTCGCATGGGGCACCTTTCCCTCGGGGAAGGGAAAGATGTCAGGGAAGGGAAGTCGTCACCCAAAACGGAAAGGCTCCTTCCTGCTCCCGTGCTGACCTTGGGGTCTGCCTTGTTCTTGCAGTTGAGTCGGGTGGTCCTCTCCCCAGTCTGGTTCCTCTACAGCCTGTTCATGAAGCTGTTCCAGCGTTCCTTACCAGCCATCACCCTTGAGAATCCAGACATCAAGTACCCACTACGGCTCATCGACAAGGAGGTGACTGCCCCTCCCTGCCCCCAGCACCCCTTTGGTTCCTTGGTACCTGCTCTGCACCCCACCTATCTTCTGCCTATTTTGCAGCTGGAGAGAGTGAGGCAAGGCCCTGTCCCTTGCTAAGGCCATGGGGAATGGCAGAGGGACCCAGACCCTGGTCTCTATTGCATAAATTCTTTCCCTGAGGAGATGGAAACAAATGCTTGTTCTCTCCTGGTCAGGCACCATGGACAAACTAAAATGCCCTTCTACCAAAGTCTACATCTTGGGGAACCAGTGAGTTTATTGGGCTTAACTTACAGAGCATGGGTGACCCCCCAAAACTGCACTACCAAAACGCCTCACCTCAGTATGCTGCACAGGCGGAGCCCCCACTTCAGTTAACTCACTACTGTCTGTGTACTCAGTACCCCAGTGACCAGGAGACCAGGTGCAGTTAGGGCAGGATTACACACAGCTAGCTGGCAGGCGACCAGAATCTTAGGTGAGGGTCATTGACCCCCCCAGCCCCTCCTTCTGTGAGGGGCGTCTCTTGCAAGTTGCCATGGCCGCTCTGATTAAAATGATGGCTGTCATGCCCAGAGGCTAGTGCTATATGACTCCGACCACACTCCCTGTCCCATGGAAAGTCCCTTTGGGACTTTTGGGTGCATGGCCCCACTTATTTGCCAGGGAAACAGGTGAGAGAAGCTGAGTGCCCTGCCCCTTGGAGATAAGAAATTGTCCCTGCCCCGCCCTACTGTGGTAGGTACAGGCTGGACTCTGTGGGCCTGGTTGTTCACCTCTGACTGCCTTTGTAAAGTATGTCTCTGGTCCTCTGGTCAGGACCAGAGGCACCCTCCTCTCCCTGCCTCTGCTCCCTCCCCTCTCCTCTAGGCCCTCCTCCCTGCTCTATTTCTGGTCTTCCTGGCTGCTGCCAGAGGGTGTGTCAGGAAAACTGACTCAGGGAGCAGAGAATGAGGAGCCTCAGGCCCTGGGCCCTTGGGGTTGACCCTGTACTGTGGCTTAGTAGCAGGGTGAGGGGAGCTGACTGGACTCACGGCTATAAGTCCATGATGTCCCCAGAATGAGAGAAGACAGAAAGGAAGAATACAAAATAAAACCATACACCCTCCTATTGAGACGGCTCCAGCCTCCTGTGAGTCTTATGTGCATGTGGACACACACGTTTTCTTCTTACCAAATGAAATCCATGTTCTTATTTAGTTAGTTGGTTTTATAAGAGTTTTGCCTGCATGAATATAAGTGTATCACGTGTCTACAATGCCCATGGAGGCCAGAACAGGGTGGACCTGGAGTTATGGACATTAGTTAGCCACCATGTGGGTGCTGGGAACCAAACCCAGGTCCTCTGCAAGAGCAGCCAGTGCTTTTAACCGGTGAGCCGTCGCTCCAGTCTGAAATCCTCATTTTTTTTTTTGTTGTTTGTTTTGCTTTTGTGATAGGGTAGCCCCAGTTGGCCTAGAACTTGCTATGTAGACCAGGCTGGCCTCAATCTCACAGACATCCACCTGCCTCCCAGTGCTCAGATTAAAGGTATGTGCCATTGTGTAGGCCCTAAATCCTCATGGTTTGGGAAGGATTTTTTGTTTTTTGTTTTTTGGAGTCAGGTCCTCCCTGTGGTCCCAGCTGACCTGAAACTCTTTAGGTAGACCAGGCTGCCTCTGCCTCCCAAAATCCTCATTTTTAAAAAAAAAAATTTTATTTTTTGTTTTTATCTTGTGTGTATGCATGTATTGCCTGCATGTAGGTAAGTGCACCCGTGTCATGCAATGCCAGCGGAGGACAGAAGAGGCTGTTGGATGCCCTGGAACTGGAGTTATGGACAATTGTTAGCTGCCATGTGGGTGCTGGGATTCGAACACGGGTCTTCTGCAAGAACAGTGTTCTTAACTGCTGAGCCATATCTCCAGCCCAGTCCTCATGTTTTCAAATCCTCTTGTTTATTATCAGTTTATCAGTGGGCTTTTGGTATTGGTTTTTGTTTTGTTTTGATTTGTTTGGCAGTGTTGAAATTCAAACCTAGGGCCTTGGGCAAAGCACAGTGGCTTAGGGGGAGTGAGGGGAAGTACTCTGCACCCAGACACATCTTCAGGTTTCTTAGCCTTAAAAATTTTTTTTTCATATTTTCTTCTTTATTATCACTGCCTTTCAATTCTAGAAGGCAGGAGTTGTGAGTGCTCACGAAGTAGGAGTCCCCCTCCCCCACCTACCCGCCCACTGCAGCATCCCAGCCCCCTGCAGGGCCCCGCCCAAGGTCAGGGAGTATACATGCACACGCACACACACACACACACACACACACACACGTGACTCATGGGGGGGCTCGCGTCCTTGTGTGCAGGTGTACACATTCTTAGATGCCTTTGTTTTTTTTCACATTTTTTTTTTTTATGTATTCCAGGCTAGCCTTAAACTCTATGCAGAGGATTACCTTGAACCTGTAATCCTCCGCCTCTCCCTAGGATCCAAGGCATGTGCCACCATACCCGGCTCAGGTAGTTTGATAACCTGAAGCCTGGTTTTCTTTAATCCTTGTTCAATGAGGATAGGTTTTCTGGATGAACTCAAAGCCTCTTGGTGGACTGGAGAGATGGCTCAGCAGTTAAGAGTACAGACTGCTCTTATAGAAAAGCACCCACATGGTCACTAAGAACCATCTATCACTCCAGTTCCAGGGGATCTGATGCCCTCCTCTAGACTCTGAACACTGCATGTGCATGGTGCGCTTACATACATTAAGGCAAAACATTCATGCACATTAAAAAAGTTGTCTTATTTCAAATCTGGGTTGATGACATTTGGATGACCGTCCGGTGTTTTAGAAGGATGTCACACAAAGGACTCTCCTGTCCCCTTTGAGTGAGCATGCCTCAGGCCTGGAGTTCAGTGTCTGCCCCTCTCTGGTGCTGCTCTATCTGGGTCAGCAGCTGTTGGACCTTGCTTTGTGATCCTGCCAAGCTTACCCTTTGAGAGGCCGCTGAGGACATCAGTACTTCCTCCAAAAATTGCCTGAACAGTGGTGTCTGCCCTTGACCCTCAGGCCTAGTCAACAGTGCTGGACTCCGCCCCCCTGAGGCAGCATCTGCTGTAGTACAAAGGTTCTGGGAGGAAGGGTGGCCCAAGCTTTGTTCTAAGTGGTGCCCAGCTTGTCTTCCCAACATTTCTTTAGCTCCAGTGTCCCGGGATAGGGTTCTCCCCACCAACCAGCTGTCTTGTGCTAAGTTCCTGGTTCGAGGCCTTGCTTCTCAGACTAAGCTGAGATGGGAGAAGCCTGCCGTCCCTATCCAAGTGTTAGCGTTGCCCATCTGTGGGCCCTGGCCATTGTGTGGTTAGCCTGCGTGCCAGGAGCAGGGTTGGCAGTCAGAGCTCTGACCAAAACTCACTGTAACACTCACTGGTTACTAATTAAGACCCACTTATGGGGGATTCAGGGACTGATGTCTGCCCCTTTCTCAGGCTCTTAACTAGCCCCTACCCATCCCTAGAGGAGAAATGGCTGCCACAGCCTAGCTGTTGACCGTGCCCTGGTGCCAATCCGTGGAGGGAGCCTGACTTTGGACTCCTGACCATGGCCAGCCCTGGGACCTCCTGGGCAGTGGAGGCTGCTATGACTCATGGCCCTCCAAAGCCCAGCCTCAGCCACAACCACCCACTTCTTTTTTAAAAAAAAAAATTTATTATTTTTTACTTTATGTGTATGAGTGTATTGCCTGCATGTAGGTAAGTGCACCTGTGTCGTGCAGTGCCAGCGGAGGACAGAGGAGGCTGTCGGATCCCCTGGAACTGGAGTTACGGACAGTTGTTAGCTGCCATGTGGGTGCTGGGATTCGAACCCGGGCCTTCTGCAAGAACAACCAGTGTTCTCAACAGCTGAGCTATCTCTCCAGCCCCAGTAATTTCCATTTTATAAGTGTGTGTGTGTATATATAGAAAAACAGATGTAAACAGTTACTTTTTTTTTTATTCTTTAAGAAACAGATTGCTAACGAGAAGTGAGGTCATTGTTAAGACTATTTCTGACATTTTGGTTCAGGTCTTCTGTAAGAGCAACCAGTGTTCTTAACTGCTGAGCCATCTCTCCAGCCCCACAACCAGTGTTCTTAACCACTGAGCCATCTCCCCGGTCCCCCAACCACCCACTTCTCATAGGCTCCTGGATGCAGTTGACTTCCAGAACCTTCCCTCACTCCCTGGACCTGGGCCCACTTGGCCTTGTGAGTCCCTCCTGCCACCAGGCTGCTGCCACCACCTCCTGGAATGTTCTAAGTCACTTGGTGGTATCCCTTTGGGACCTTGTAATTCATTCGTGCTCTGACCACTCTGCTATGTGGCCCCCTCTCAGCCAGCAAGAGCAGATGCCCACCAGGCATGCTCATCCTCACACGTGGGCAATGGTGAGAACATCATCATCGCTTGGGGACATGGGGAGGGAGGGGTTCTGAGGTCCAGCAGCTCTGCCTCTTTGCAGGTCATCAGCCATGACACACGGCGCTTCCGCTTTGCCCTGCCTTCGCCCCAGCACATCCTGGGCCTCCCCATTGGTAAGTCTGCCCCACCCAGCCCAGGCAAGAGTGGGAGCCTGGCCTTGCAGTGTGGGCCTGTGGCACTGATAGTGATGCCAGCACAGGTGTGGAGACCACACTGAGATGTGTGTGGAGTCCCTGTGATGGGGCTGCGGGGGTGGGGGAGGGTAGTGGGAGCCAGGGCCAGCAGAGTTTGCAAGTGGGACAGGTGTAGGGCCCTGGCAAGTCAAGACCCAGTAGTCCCTTCGGAGACAGTCCCTGACCTAGAGTGACCCCTCACTGTCTTACAGGCCAGCACATCTACCTCTCGACTCGAATCGATGGGAACCTGGTCATTCGGCCCTACACCCCTGTCTCTAGTGATGACGACAAGGGTTTTGTGGACTTGGTTGTCAAGGTGGGCTCCCCAGGACATGGCTTCAGGGGTGAGGTGGGGTGCAGAGAGTTGCTTCCTGCTCAGGCAGCAGAGAAGGGGAGACCTGTTGCTGAATGGGTGTTGACCAGGTGAACCAGGAAGAGAGAGGCCCTCCGGGTGTAAAGGCCCAAGGTTAGAGGGTCTAAGAGCAGACAGCCAAAGTGCAGCGCCAGGGCTTACTGCACACACAGGCAGTGGGAGAGCCCGCGGGGCCAGGCAGAGCCTTTTCCCCATTCTCCAGCTTGCCTTCAAGGCTTGGCCCCTAGGAAGATGGCCCAGCTCTGGCCTGGCCACTGCTGTTCCTCTGTCCCCTTTTCCATAAACCAGTTGTACCCCAGGCTTCCCCTTTTCCAAGACTGTAATCCCACAGGGGCCAGGAAGGAAGTGGCTTTACGAGGGCTGTTTGTGTGACTGCTGGAGCATGCTGTACCAGGTAGGGAGGGCAGGGCCGAACTGCCACACAGCCTCCCTGTGTTGACAGATATGTGCATCTCCTGGCAGGAGGTGGGCACGGAGCAGAGGCTGGTGCAGCACTGACACAGCCCTCCAGCTGGTGGCCCTGTGTGGCAGGCAGATGCCTTGCTTTTTGGGGCATTAAGTAGAAGGCCTGAGTTTTGGTAGGCAAATGGGACCCCAGGTGAAATATTGGGGTGCCTAAGGCTAGGTGGGGACTTCAGGACACCCCTGTGGCTTGCAGGTTTATTTCAAGGACACCCATCCCAAGTTTCCAGCTGGAGGGAAGATGTCCCAGTATCTGGAAAACATGAAGATTGGAGACACCATTGAGTTCCGGGGTCCCAACGGGCTGCTGGTCTACCAGGGCAAAGGTGATTAGGGTAGCGGCCCTTGGAGGCTGGACAGGACTCAGAGAACTGGAGACTGGGGCCACTGGCCCTGAGGCTGCTGTGTCAGGGGGAGCTGGGGAGGGGCAGATGTTTCCCCCAGCCTTGGTCTTCAGCTGTTTAAAAGATCAGTAGCCGGCCCAGGGGCTGCCCCTGGCTGTGCATGGGGCCTAGGTTTCTTCTTAGGCTATCTCGTTTTGCTTACCCAGTGCCCCCAAGTAGCCAGCAAAGGCCTGAGTGTGAATTTCCCACCACTGGCCTCTGTTCTTCTCCACAAGAGGAGGCATTTGTGTAGGGTCCTGGATTCCTACCTTCCCCTCCTTGCCATCACCCCAACTGGCTGGGGCTGTGTGACATTTACCCTGCCCCGGACTCTAGGGGATAAAAGTGCTTCACCTGGAGCAGTGCTGCCTGAGGGCCCTGGCTCTACCTCACCCTCCCTCTTCCCAGGCAAGTTCGCCATTCGTGCTGACAAGAAGTCCAACCCTGTTGTCAGAACAGTGAAGTCTGTGGGCATGATCGCAGGAGGGACAGGTACAGGAGGGACCTGGCTGATGTGGTGGGTCAGGGTGTGGGTGTGGGTGTGGGAGGAAGCATACGGTAGGAGGGAGGTCAGGGGCCCATGCCTGGTGTCTCACACCTCACCTTGCTTGGGCTCCTGGTGTGCTCGAGCAGGTGCTCACCCAGTGTGGGGCCCCCGTTCTGTAGGCATCACCCCGATGCTCCAGGTGATCCGCGCCATCATGAAGGACCCAGATGACCACACTGTGTGCTACTTGCTCTTCGCCAACCAGGTTGGTGGACAGTCTCCCAAAACAGGCAGGTTCAGCTGTAGTGAGGAGGCTCTGGGGCCCGGACAGGCCCTGTACAAGGGTCTACATGGCTCTGCAGAGATGCTGGGGAGGTTGGATGGCTAGAAGGAGGGGCAGGCCAGGCATTCTGACAGTGGCAGGTAGGAGTGGCTACTGAGACAGGGCGCTGGGGTAGCGGGGCACCCTCCTACCCACCAGGCCCTTCTTCCAAACTTGGAGCTCCCATGACCTCCAGCAGAGTCTGGAACTCTGGAGGGGTGGGAGGACATTGGCCTGGGCCTGGGCTGGGAAGAGACGGAGGTGAGATACCCAGGGCGCTAGCCTGAAGGAGCTCCCTGAGCTAGATGGTGTCTGCAGGGTGGAGGCTTTTCTAAGCTCTGTGTAGCCTGAGATGGGTGGCCTGCCCTCTCTGTGCTCTACTTCCTCGGCAGAATAGTCTGGTGAAGCAAGTTGTCACCAGCCTTTCCAGGTTCCATATTTTGTGGCTGAGTATGTGAGATTTATGTGATATCTCTGGAGGAGGCCAAGCTGAGTCCCACCAGCCCCAGCAGTGTAAAGGGACCTGACACCCTGTGGTTCAGGTAATCTTGTCCCCAGGGTGCTTCTGGCCCAGCTCTGTATTACCCATCTGTGCAGCAGCATAGCCCAGCAAGAGAAGCTTGGTTCCCTACACAGCTGAGGGAATACCCTGAGGCCAGCAGAGGTCTTGACTAGGCCCAGCAGAAAGGGCCAGCTGATGCAGGCTGGTTGGTGGAAAGGGAAGGGGGGGTCAAACCCAGGGCCTTGCCCATGCTAAGTTCATGCTATGCCACTGAGCTACAGCCCGGCTGCTACTTGTTTGTTGTTCTTGGTGACAGAACACAGAGCCACCCTAGCCTTTGGTTTTCTGAGGCAGGGTCTTAGCTATGTATCTTAAGTTGGCTGTGAACTCACTCTCCAGTGCAGGCAGGTATTGAACTTGGGGATTCTTCTGTCCCAGCTTCTGAATGCTGAGGTTACAAGGCATGTGCTACCCCACCTGAACATAGACTCTGTTTATTTTTGAAAGAGGGTAGAGAGCTATGTAGTCCTTGCTGGCTTGGAACTCACTCCGTAGACCAGGATGGCATCGCACACACAGAGATCCACCTGCTTCAACCTCCTGAGTGATGGGGTGTGCCACCACCCCGTCACGAACTCCATTTGTAAGAAACCTGTGATTAGCTGCTTTGAGGGGCTCTGTAGGTAAGGTGCTAGAGAGGACGGATGTGCCACTGGGACTCCAGTGAGCTGCAGGGAACCTGAGCACTGCCACGTGGCATGGTGATCCACCCTTGGGCCTGTCGCTGATGAGGTCTGTGGGGCAGTCCCTGTGCCCACCCTCTGACCATGTGGCCTGTGCCCTGCAGTCCGAGAAGGACATCCTGCTGCGGCCTGAGCTGGAGGAACTGAGGAACGAACATTCCACCCGCTTCAAGCTCTGGTACACGGTGGACAAAGCCCCGGAAGGTGAGCACGGGGCCCGGCACGTGTGGGAGCTGCCAGTCCTCTGCGCTGAGCCTTCTGCCAGCCTCATTCAGCACCCACCGTGGCCTGTGCCAGGGCTGTATGGGACCTTGTCTCAGATGAGGCCCCAGAGCTCCGGAAGCAGTGCCCACATCCCACAGCAGAAGCCGCAGAGCCAGGCCCGGGACCACCTCTCTAACCCTTCCCAGCCCTGCACTGCCCACTGGATGGAGGAGGTCCACATTCGGTCCTTGGACCTGGGCTCACTCCGGGGTCAGCCCTTGGGGCAGCTGGTTTGGACCCCATAACAGCCTTTGCCTAATTTTGGGTTTTTCCAATCTGGCCACTTGCCCTGGGCAGGGTGAGTGTTCTGGTTGTCCTCACTCTGCTGTAGGCCAGATTCGTGGTGCTGTGGACCAAGCCCATGCCAGCAGGTCTGTGGAGTCTGCTCCCCCACAGCTATTTGCTCTGTCAGCTCAGGGAGGGCTCTGGTGAGCCTGGCAAGTTTCTCAATATATTGTTTCTTGAGCCTTGGGAGCCTCCTCCCTCTCCCTCCAGGAGGGGGTTTCAGGCCTAAGAAAGAGCTACAGGGCACATGCCAGCCAGCCAGGCCTTCTTAGCTGTGTTCTACAAGCTATGTTATGAGTCAGCAGGGCACTGGGTGTGGGTGTCAGAGTCCCTGCTCTCTTTCTCCTAAAGAAAGGGAGGAGTGAGAGATGGGTTGACGCCCTCCTGAAGCTTCCAATCAGGAAGAGGAAGCTGAAGAGAATGGTGGGGGGGGGGGCTGCTGACCCCTGATGGTGACCTGTGATAACCATCTCCCAGGGCTGGTCCCCTGACAGTAGGGCTAGAACCAGGATTTGGCATAATCTCCTGGTGTTTTTCCCTTGACTTATTACCACCCTGGCCCAAGAGTGAAAACTAGTGGCAGAATTGGAGATGGGAGGAGGAGGGGGCAGCCGGCCTCGGGGCCCAGAGACTAGGCCAGCAGTCCACACAAATGCTAGGTTTCCAAAGCCGCCTTCAGGACATGGATAAACAGTATCATAAAACACCTGGTGAGCCATGCCTCTGTGCTTGTCTACACTGGCCTGGCAGACAGCTTGTTCCCAGACAGTTGTCCCTCTGTCATCTATGCTCTGCCTTGTTCTAGAGGAATCCTAGGAAGCTTGCAGTGACTCATACACTGAGTCAGAGGAGGACAAGCGGGAGCTGGGAGTGAAGAAAACCAAGGGTGGGGCTTAGAATGGAGGCGGGGTGAGGCCTGCACAAAAACATGGACTGTGGTGCACATTTGCCACGCATAGGCCATACAGGTCACCCTGGGTTCTAGAACCCAAGGTCCAAGGGAGTTGTGCCCAGCTGCTTACGCCCATTGGCACCCATGAGCTGGAGGGCCTTGTTCAGTCGCAGTAGATTCTTCCCAGTCTCTGGTCTACTTGGTGGGACTGTTTGTTGTTGTTTTGTTTCGTTTTGAAACAGGCTCTCACTATATAGCCCTGGATGGCCTGGAACTCACTGTATAGACCAGACTCGCCTCAAAGTCACAGAGACCCACTTGCCCCTGCCCCCTGAGTGCTGGGATTAAAGACATGCACCACTGCCCCAAGTAGTCTCCTGGGACTGTATTGGCACCTCCTGCCCCCAGGAACCCATCGAGTAGATACCTAGGTGGTGCCTCCGTGTCAGCCAATGTCCTTTAAAAATTATTACTAATGGGACTGGAGAGATGGCTCAGCGGTTAAGATGGCTGCTTTTGTGAAATACCTGGGTTCAGATCCCAGCACCCACAGGGCAGCTAACAACTGTCCGTAACTTCAGTTCCTGGGGATTCAGCGCCCTCTTCTATCCTCTGGGGGCATTGCCTAATAGAGGTGCACTTACATACATGCAGGCAATACACTCATACACATAAAATAATTATTATTATTATGAGGATACATACAGCACATGTCAGAGGGGACTTGTGGAGACATTTCTCTCCAGCTTTACTTGGGTTCTGGGGATCAAGTGCAGATCTCCAGGCTGGGCTTGCATGGCAAACACTACCTATCACCCTGCCCCCATCATCGCCCAGCCGCCCAGTGTCCTTTTTACCGTGGGCTTCTGTGTTGTTTCTGTTGGTGTCGAGCCTCTCAGGCGGCTCATCTGGGTTACAGGGATAATCCTGGGTGTTGAGGACTGGCAGGACCGAGGGGCCTCCACCAGGTCTGGAGGAGCCCTGAGCCTTGGATAGAGCGAGCCTGAGTGGCGGGTATCAGTGGCCCAGCATCTCTCTGCTCTCCTGACACTTCTTGCCACCTCTCCCTGTTCACCTCCAAAATCAAGCTAGAGGATATGCACCCTGGTCCAGCTCAGGGGCTAGCCTGGGGCAGCATCCACAGGTATCTGGACCAAGATTGTTTCTCTGAGTAGCCTGAGCCAGCAGGTCAGTCCCTAGACCAGAGAACTCTGCAACCTCAGTGTGCTGACTTCCCCCAGGCCCCCACTGCGTTCCTGTTTCTGAAGGATTTTCTGTTTTGACTGGCCTTGAACTCATGTCAGTCCTCCTGCCTCAGCCTCCCAAGTTTTGGGATTACCATGTCTGTCTCATTCATTAAACTGCGTAACAGGTTCCTGCCAGGCATGTCTAGGCACCAGAATACAGCTGTGAACAAGCTCCTGCTTTCTGTGTGTTGACTCCCTGATGGGGGAGGAGTAAGCTTGTAGCTAGGGTGGAGGATGTCACCCTGACCAGCCTAGGCTGGGCAACTTAGAGAGACCAATGTCCCTACTTCATTGTGTGACCTTGAACAATTCTTCTGGGTCCTCTGGGCCTCAGTTTCCACATCTATAAAATGGATTCAATATCCCCTAACCTGGGCTGGGGGTGTGGCTCAGAGGAAGCACACTTGCATAGTGTGACTGAGTTGCATCCTAGCTCTGCAAGAATAAATCACCCTGAGGTGGTTGTGGAGGCTACAAGAAGAAGCAGGTTTTCAAACTGTTAAGTTGGGGTGAGGGAACCAGAAAGGTCTTGTGCTCTGACTGCTGGCTGTCCAGGCTGAAGCCACAGATTGGGTAGCAGGTGTGGGGTCAGAAGCAGGGTGGGTATGGGGGGGTCCACCTTTCCTTTTTGTCTGCTGAAATGGAAGGATGAGGGATGGACAAGGGGCTGCGGGTCAGGTGGGTGGTGGGTCACCCCTCGGCTCACCTGGTCTCTTGCTCCACAGTCTGGGACTACAGCCAGGGCTTCGTGAACGAGGAGATGATCAGGGACCACCTTCCACCCCCCAGGGAGGAGCCACTGATACTGATGTGTGGACCCCCGCCCATGATCCAGTTCGCCTGCTTGCCCAACCTGGAGAGTGTGGGCCACCCCAAGGAGCGCTGCTTCACCTTCTGATGGCCAGTCCTGGCCACTCCTGCCCGCTGCCCATGCGCTCAAATCGCCTGCCCCCCCCTTTCCTCTCTGCCAGTCTCCCTCACCTCTACCATCTGCCCACATCTGCACTGGGGCCTGGGTCCAGCCTGGCCTGCCCGGCCCTGGTCACACAGGCACACTGGCCCCTGAGGGGCTCCTCTGGGAACAGGGCTCTGTGCCATGTGGCCCCTGGCCACCTTCTACATAAGCGCCTGTCTGGCACTAACTAGCCATTACCAGAGATACCCCACAACCACCCGTTATACACACACACACACACACACACATACAGAGCTGCCTGTACCATGCCTACCCCCCCACCCCCATCATGGACCACAGTCAACAGAAAGGGAGGGCTAATGGTCACTATCCTGGGACCCCTGCCTGTCACCGCAACCACCTGCCTTAGGCCATGGCCTGCCCTCGGCTCCTGACACATTAGATAATGGCACCCAAAGGTTCTCTTGGGGGGCATGTCTGGAAGTGACAGACCACCCCCACTTCTGGCCAAGGGCCCCTGGGGCAGCACATGGGCCCTTCCGAGACCCCGTATCTCCCCCAATAGCCTTGGGCGCACTCCAAGTTAGCCCAGCAGTGACCCTTGGGGTCCTGGCTTGGACGGGTCCTGCCTACAGAACCACATCACTACTTTTGTTTATTCCTCCATCCCAAACCTCCCTCTTGCCTGGTCCCCAGCTGGGGGAGGTCCAAACAGTGCCTCCTGTCCGAGAGACAGACCTGGGGGCTGTGCGCTGCCTTGCGTGTCGGCCTCCTGCAGACCGGCTTTTTCAGTCATTTACAAGCAGAAAAGAGTTGAAGTAAAACTTTGCTAATTCTGACCCTTCTGGCTGTGTGGGGTGTTACCAGGATGAGCTGTATGGGCCAGCATGTATTTGATTTTGGATATACATTTGCATTGCCTGTTCAGAGCCTGGGAAGTGGGGAAGTATACAGGGGACCCTGCCCTGTCCTGTCTCCTTGCTGGTTAAAAGGACTACAGAGTGACTGGCATTTCACCTCAGGGCAGCTCTGTGAAAGGTGAAGTGGGGGAGCACTCTGGTCATTGCTTTTCCCTAGGTCACTGCCTCATGTCCGGGGAGGCCCTAAGATGCCCCATCACTGCATTTCCCTGCCCTGCTCCCCAGGTCTTGATTCTGCTGGGAAAGAGGCTAGACAGATCACATTTGTAAGCCGGCCACCTAGAGACATGAAGGGGGAGTGAGGGCTGTTCTTAAGATGAGGAGGTATCTGAGCTACACCAGTGGTCAGGACAGTCAGAACACGCAGCTTCAGAAGAACAAGAACAGGTGGTAGGTGGGGCTGGGAGACGGCTAGGTAAAATGCTTGCTGCACAAGCATTGGGACCCGAGTTCAGATACCCAGCACTGGGAGGCAGGGACAAGAGGATTCCAGGGGTCTGGCCAGGCAGGCTAGCCAGTTGGTGAGCTCCAGGTTCAGTGAGAGGCCCTGTTGAAGAATTGGGTGGAAAGGGGCTAGAGAGATGGCTCAAAAGTTAAGAGAACTGGCTGCACTTGCAGAGGACCCGGGTTCCGTTTCCCCATCCACAAGATGGGCAAGTGATTCTCTGCTCTCCTGGCCTTGAGGCTCATTTAGGGTGCTAGAGTGGCCCCTTTGCTCGGGGATGTGAACTTGGGGTGGGGGAGGCTTCACTTCCTGACACACAGAATTAAGAAAAAAATCAAGTTCCAAGCCATTAAGAACTTGTAAGAAGAAAGGGATTATGGCTGAGTGACACGTAGAGCATCAGCAACATGTGGAAGTTTTCAGAAGAGGGTGCCAGCCAGGCTGGCCAGAGTGACTGGGAACTTCCCACCCTGAATGCTGCTGGACTCTGGCTCCAAGCGAGGCTTCCTAGGAGACTCCGGGCCAGTTGCCAAGCAAGGGGGAACGAAAGACCCACCTGTCCACCAGATCCACCTGAAGGAGATGTTGGGAAGCCAGTAGGGGATGCTGCCTCTGACAGCTTTACTCCGGTCCCCACCCTGTGTGCCGGAGATTCCCAACACCAGAATTCGATGATCTCATTACCCCAATGCACTGCCGTAAAACACGGCGGAAAGAAGCCCCCCCCCCAAAAAAAAAGCACACGCCGGTCATCCCAGCACTTGGGAGGGGGTAAGGGGGGGTGTTTGAAGCCAGCCTCTGCTACAGGGAGACGTTTTAACAACTTTGAACTCTTGGGACTGGAGAGATGGTTCAGCGGTTAAGAGCACTGGCTGCTCTTGCAGAGAAACAAGTTTTGGTTTCCAGCACCCACATGGCAGCTAACAACCGTCCATGACTTCAGTTCCAAGGGAATCCTACGCCCTCTTCTGACCTCTGGGCATTGCATGACACAGGTGCACTTACACACATGCAGACAATACACTCACACAGGGCCTTAACAGAGCCCCTCTGGCCTGTTCATGTTCTGCTCTGCACTGCCCAGCTTGCCCCAGCGCCAAGCAGGAACCTACCCTCTGCCCAGCCACTGGCAACAGGGAAGGGACTTCCAGTTGTGCAATCTGCCCTGTGAATGAGGGCAGTTGTGGCTCAAAGTTAGGGAGACTGGTTCCACTTCCTGGTCCTTTACTACATGGTCTTCCCTCCATGTCATCCAACACAACCACCTGATCCAAGAGCATCACGTTTTGGTGGTGGTGGTGGTGGTGGTGGTGGTGGTGGTGGTGGTGTGTGTGTGTGTGTGTGTTAAGGGTTGAAATCTAGGGTTCTTAGGCTTGTGCTCTGCTGCTGAGCTAGCCTAGTGTGTTTCATGTCACTGATTCTTACGTGGTATCAAATGCCTACCTCAGATCAGGCCCACTGCTGGAAGCAGTGAACAACTACCCCACATGTCACACTAACCCCACTAGGTCACTCCTCCAACCACCCACCTGCATCGGCCTCAAATCACAGCACTGGTCATAAGCCCAGCTGAACAAATTTTCCCCACCAACACGTTTGTACAGTCTACCTGGCTAAGGGTTCAAAAGTCAAAGACATCCTTGACGTGGAACAGTAGGTGACATCATTGGCCTTGGCTGTTTCCAGCCCACGCAAACTGACAAACATAGTTCCATCACGTTTGTGTTTTTAAATATTGTTTTTATTTTATGTGTGCTGTATGTGTGTGTATTGCCTGCATGTAGGTAAGTGCACCCCCTGTCAAGCAATGCCTGTGCGATCACTGTCATGTGGGTGCTGGGATTTGAACCCAGGTCTTCTGCAAGAACAACCAGTGTTCTTAACCGCTGAGCCAGGCCCCGTGTTTCTTACGCTCTACTTAATCAAGGTTCACCAAGTGCCCTTACTAAGTGACGTTGGGCGGACGAGCAGAGCCCCAGCAGCACAGCACACTCCTCCTCATCGTCTCTCTTTAGAGCATACAAGGGGGTCGGGCAGATCGCTTCACCCAGGCATCCCGCAAAGTAGGCGGGTCACCTTAGGGGCAACCTTTACCCGCTCAAAAATTCGTCTCACATTAGCAGTGAGGACTCGGGCGTCACCCCGAATCGTTATTTTCCTTACTCATAAGTTTAAGGCATGAACAGAGTACCCGCCTGCCTTCATAGGTAGTAGATTCAATCCTCCTTACGACTATGGTGAGTATCAAACCGCTCCTCAAGCGGACAGCCTTACTTACATGAAGGTTTTCTTAGTTGTTTTTAACTTCTACGTGCTTTTAATTTCATTTATAAGAGAAGGAAAAAGAAAAAAATCTGCCACGCTCCGACCCGCCATATGCAGATTAGAAGACGGTGCCGCAAAGGCTCAAGGGGAGCGGTCCCGCCCCTTCCGGCTCTCGCTTCATTTGCGCTGTCGCGAGAGTTGGTGGGCCGGGCGCTGGAAGCACCTCGTCGCTCCGTAGCGGCTGAGGGGCGGGCGCGCTGCGCTGGCTTGGTGACTAACATGGCGGACATCTCGCTGGACGAGCTCATCCGGAAGCGCGGAACGACGACCAAGGGGCGGTGAGCGGTCTTTCTTTCCTTTCGGGGCTCGGGGAGGGGATCCGGGGTCGGCGGGGGCAGCTCCGGTGCGATGGGAGCCGCGGCGGCCGGGGAGGGCGGGCGCAGGCCGCTGCTCCGCCCACTGGCTGCGGGGGAGGCCACTACGGGGCGGGGGGATAGGCCGCTGCGGAGCGGGGGTTGGGGGGTAAGGAGAGGCCTTACCCCTGCGACCCCCGCCCCCTGCCCTCCCCACCCCAAAGACTGAAGTTCTGCGGCAGAGGTTGGTTTTCCAGACGGGCGGTGTAGCCTGAGCCGGCTTTGACGTCGCCCTGTAGCCGAGGCTGGTCTCAAACACCCCTTTCCCCACCTCCCAAGTGCTGGGATGACCTGCGTGCGCTTGTTTGTGTTTGGGGAGGCGGGCTTCCTTCCGCCATGTTGCCCAGACTGGTTTCCTCTGGCCTCTGCCTCCCCGGGGCGTCCTGCTAGGCCCGTTTCACAGGTGGGAAGGTGAAGGCAAAGAGTGGGTGCAGTGGCGCGGGGCGCAGGCGCGGCGGAGGTCCTTGTGTGCGCCCCACATTCTGACGCTTCGACAGTGCTAGTTATTTGGGTGTCCCGGAAAGAAGCCGGAATTGGCCAGTAGTTTTCCAGCACACTTTGAGGCTTAATGTGTTAGTAAGCTGCCGGGTGTAGAGGTGCTGGATACCGTTTTCCCGATCATTCCTCTGCCCAGATGGTATTACTTCCTCCCCATATCTGTGCCTAGAGAGCCCGTGGTCTCCCTGCCTGAAGTACATTCTCTCTTTCTTGGCATTAACTGCCACCACATAGTTCCTCAGGTAGCCTTTTCACCTGCCTTTTGCGTCAAAACACGCGAGCAGTGTGTGTTTCCTCAGCTTATCCGTGAATAATCTCGCAGGTTCTCCCTCTGCTCAGTGATGTGGAGTTGTTGCTGGCTCTCCAGCACGTCTGAACCTGTCCAGGCTTCACAGGTCCTGTCTAGGATTGTTCCCGCAGCTCCCGACTGCAGGCAGTCTACATAAACTAATTGGTCTGTCTTGGTGGGTACAGTCTTGTTTGAGCAGGGGGTGGAGATTGGGGATGTGGGAGGATGTGTAGATCTTCGGGGAGAACTGGTTGTGATCAAGGCGGATCCAGTTCCCTGTGAGTGCTACTGTTGGGTTCAGCACCCAGCTAGGCAGTGTCCTGCTCACACTGGTGTCCTGGCAGCTTCAGGATAATGGTGAGAGACTGTTAGCTCTGACATTGCTGTGACCATATCTCAGATGGTCAGCTAAAGGAGGAGATAGCTCATAGTTTCAGTTCACAATGGGCTATCTCTGGCTTTAGACTGGAGGCAGAAAGAATATAATGGTATGGGGGGTGGGGCTTGCCTAAAGGCAGCCAGGAAGCTGGAGAGTTGAGAGGAAGAGAGGGGAAAGGACACATGTGCTCTTCAGGGGCTGGAGAGATGGCTCATCCGTTAAAAGCACTCTCTGCTCTTGCAGAGCACCTGGGTTTGATTCCCAGCACCCACATGGCAGCTAACAAGGTCCCTAACTCCAGTTCCAGGGGAATCTGACTCCCTCTTCTGACCCCCACAGGCATTGCAGGGCACCAGTGCACTTACATACATGCAGGCAATATACTCATACACATAAAATAAAAACATTTTTTAATGTACTCTTCAAAGATTAGCCCCCACCACCACCCATGACCTACTTCCTATCCTTAGGGCCCATCTCCTAGCAGCCCATTTAGCTGTGAACTCATCAATGGATAAAGGTGGTGCATTGTTAAGGTTAGTCCTTCATGATTCAGTCACTTAAAATTAAAAAAAAATTTATGTGTATGTATGGGTGTTTTGCCTGCATGTATATAAGTGCATTATGTGCATGCGAACCCTAGTGGACTCAAAGAGGGTGTCGGATCCCCTGGAACTGGAGTTACGGGTGGTTGTTAGCCTTCCTGTGGGTGCTGGGAACCAAGCCCTGATCCTCTGCTAGAGCAGCCAGTGCTCTCAACCTCTAAAAGACATCACTCCAGCCCTTCCAGTCACTTACAGCACCATTAGCTAGAGACCAGCCTTCAATAGTGAGTTCTCTGGGGATTATTGTAGCTCCAAACAGTAACATTGTTTTAAAGTTTTAAAAGTTTATACTATGTTTCTGGGCTGGAGCAATGGCTCAGCCCTTAAAGGTACTGGTTGCTCTTGCAGAGGACCCTGCACTTGGAGAGGACCTAGGTTTGGTTCGAAGCATCTGCATGGCAGACTAACAATATTCCTTAACTCCAGTTCCAGGAGCTCAGACGCCCTCTTCTGACCTCTGTGGACATCACATGACACGGGTACACTTACACACATGTAGGAAATACACTCATACACATAAAATAAAAATATAAATAAAATATATTTTTTTAAAGTTTGCTGGGCATGGTGGTGCAAGCCTTTAATCCCAGCACTCGGGAGGCAGAGGTATGTGGATCTCTGAGTTCAAGGCCAGCCTGGTCTACAAAATGAGTTCCAGGTCAGCTGGGGCTACAGGGAGACCAGAAAATAAAGTTTTAGCCTGGCGTGGACGTGCATGCCTTTATTCCCAGCACTTGGGAAGCAGAGGCAGGCAGATCTCTGAGTTCAAGGCCAGCCTGGTCTACATGGTAAGTTACATGCAAGCTGGGGCTACAGGGAGACCCTGTCTCAAAAAGACCAAAAAAAAAAAGTTTAAAGTTTATATATTGTTAGAGCAAGTGTGGTGGTGCATGGCCATCTAGGAGGACTGCTACCCAGCCTGAGCTGCATAGACCCTGTCTTGAAACCAAAGTATGTACTGTGTAGTAAGTGTTCAAGTGATGGGAGTTATCATGAATCTTTCCTTACAGAGTTGAAGCATGTAACTACTTGGAGGAAGAGTAGGGACTGCCAAGGGTCAGTCCCACCTCCTCCCCCTTTCCATGTGGAGTTGTGTAAGTTGCTTAAGTGACCCTTATTCACTTATGCATAAAACACAAGTATATATTCCATCAGGGTGCAGTGAACTAATGTATCTGCAGTGCTTCAAAGAGAGCTGAGGGCTCAGGTGCTGCTCTCCTCCCTGTCACTGTAGAGGGCTGAGATACAGAGGTGCATTGATTAATTTTTCAGTGTGAAGATTTTCTTGTGCATTTATGTGAAGAGTGGATTGAGACAGGAGTACAGTCTGGAGGACTAGACTGGAGGACATGCTGTGTAGGGGTTAAAACCTCTAGAAATTCTATTTTATTTGCATAGTCGGCAAAGAAAAGCTAGGTCCAGGGCCCCATATCAAGAAATGTGATAGGTCTGAACAAATTTCTATGCAGAAATGTCATTTCCTACAGTAAATATATACTATTTTCCTTGCTTTCTAACCGAAATCACTCTTCCGGGAACTTTGGTTTTACTGTTGCGTAGGTATCCCAGGAAGAATTCTGTGTTCAGTAACTTGTGTGGCTGGCCCTAGAGCTGCTTTCCTTCTCTTGGGAGAAGCGGCAAACAGAGCCTTTGGGGATGAAAAGATCTCCCAGCAGTGATTTCAGGTATGAAGGGCCCCATCGGGCTCCACCTCCCAGGAGCCCTGGGCACCATCTGTGTGCAAGCCTGCTCCCGTGTTGGCATCTGCCTTTCTTTGTGAGAGGTCTGATTCAGTAGTTGAGGCAGCCCCTCTGAGTCTAGTTCTTGGGAGAGTTGTCTGTTGCTTTCAGCTAGCTAACGCCTTGAGTGTGCTGGCATTGTGCAACGAGCCACCGGGGCCCATCTGAGGAGCAATCTTGGTGCCTTAGTGGGTGGGAAAGAGCTGCGCTCTGACCTGACCGAGGCTCTAGACCTGCTGCTCAAGGTTACTCCTTGTTGAGGAGAGATGAAGGAGATGCAGATTTATTCACCAAGGATGGAAGAGTGTCTGCAGAAGTCAGCAATGTGAGGTGTTCAGAAGTGTCTTAGCACATCTTTATCGCTCTTATTTTGATTAAATATTTAATGTTCGGGGCTGGAGAGATGGCTCGATGGTTAAGAACACTGGCTGTTCTTGCAGAAGATCTAGGTTCGAATCCCAGCACCCACATGGCAGCTAACAACTGTCCATAACTCCAGTTCCAGGGGATCCAACAGCCTCTTCTGTCCTCCGCAGGCATTGTATGACACGGGTGCACGCACCTACATGCAGCCAATACACACATACACATAAAAATAATAAAATATTTAAAAAAAATAAAATAAAATAATAAATAAATATTTAATGTTCATAATGTGTTTGGATCCAGTCCAACCCCCCACTCCCTCTCCAACTCCTCTCCTCCCCATCCTCCCCTTCCAACTTAGCTCCTTTTGTTTTTGGAGACAGGATCTCCCTGTAGCCCCAAGCTGGCCTAGAACTCAATATGTAGACCAGATTGGCCCTGAACTCATAGAGATCCACCTGCCTCTGCCTCCCAGGTGCTGGGATTAAAGGTGTGTGCCACCATACTGGGCTCTCTCCTAATTCCTACTGAGTCCAATTGGTGCTTCCTGTGTGTGCTTGGCTGTGGGACCATCTGCTGGAGCACAGTGAGTTCTCAGGGTCCACATCCCTGAAGGAAAATGACTCTCCCTTTCCCAGTAGCCATCCACTGTCAGTGTTCCTCAGCTGGGGTGGGCCATCTTGAGCCCTCCTTGTCCATGCTGGAGGTTAGGCTGGCTTGAGCTAGAGCTCATTTTGTGTGTGCCATCCCTTGTCACTCTCAGAGTACCTATTTGGAATTGACCCTTAGCAATATTTGAGGTAAACTGTGTTTTCTCTATGTAAAAATTATCTTGGGCAGTAATATGGTTCAGCCAGTAAAGGTGCTTGTCACCAAACCTGAGTTCAGTCCCCGGAACCCACATGGTGACGGAAAGAACCAATTCCTGAAAGTTGTCCTCTGAATGCCACATTCATGCTAGGCATACAAGTCACCCTCCAAAATAATGTTTAAAAAAATGACCCTCAGCCGGGTGTGGTGGCGCACACCTGTAGTCCCAGCACTTGGGAGGCGGAGGCCGGCAGATCTCTGAGTTCAAGGCCAGCCTGGTCTACATAGTGAGTTCCAAGCCAGCTGGGACTACAGGGGGACTGTTTCAAAAAGACCCTCAAAACGCATGACCCCCCCCCATGGATTAAAATCCACTTTATGTAAATCAGAGCTACCATTATGGGCTTGACTCTTTGGACCAGGTATTTGGAGTTGACTTTGGTTCTGTCCTCCACAGGACCAGGAGGAATAGGCATTCCTAGTCTGCAGATCCTCCCTCCGTCCCAGACTCCATTGGAGAACAGGAGAGAGAAGGTTCAGGGGGACATTTGCCCTCTCACTGGCCTGCAGCACCCTCCCAGGATCCTGTGGGATACCTGGGGGGATTTGGAAGCCATTACGGAATTGCCTTGCTGACCTTGTTGGCTGAGGTGAGGCAGCTAAGACTTGCTCAGACCCTCCCAGCTGTTTATCAGAGACAAAGTGCAGGGTGTGCTTGAACTTCTCTGGCGGTGGACCTGAGGCTGCAGGCTGATATTGGCAGGAGGGGAGGCTCCCTGAAGGGAAGGGCTTTTGCTAGGGAGCCCTCAGCAGCTCTTGGGCAGAGGGGAACATAATTGACTCTGTTTTAGAGACCTACCCTGGCAGGAGTGTTTATTTGAAGAATTCCTGATGACTAATGCCTGCCTTGTACCCCGAACTGCTGCCTGCTGGGATGAATAGCTGTCTTTTCATGCAGGAAGAGAAGTGATTATAAAAAGCCTGAACACTGAAGCCCCCTAAAGCTGTTCATTAAAGGAGTTGAAAGAGCTAGTGTACCCAGGGAATGAATGCACCAGATTGTAAAGCGGCTTCTCCCCGCGGGAGCCAGCACCCCTCCCACAAGTGCACCTTCTGTGCTGCTTGAAAACAGTCATGTGCTGTCTTCAGGACAACGAGCGCATATGTGGAGGGTGGTGCTCTGGGTCAGGTAGTAGTGCGGAGCTCTCTCAGTTGGTGTCGCGTTTGTCAGAATGTATTCCTGTCACTAAGTGAGGTATTACTGTAGATAAAAATGCCAGCCCCAATTGTCTTGGTAACATACCACCAAGACAGGTAATATGGTATGTGTGTGACCAGCTGAGCACGTTGTCACTCAGTTGTCCTTCATATACATTCTCACCCTCTGGTCAGTGGAGTGCTCTGTCCCTCGGCAAGACTAGAATCTTTGATTTTTGCTCCACATGGAGACAGTAGTCACTCTTCCTTAACTTTTTTTTTATTATTATTTTGAAAGTGTTACTGGCATAGTAGAACTAAATAGTGAGCATTAAGATGGGGAAGATTGATTTTTTTTTTTTGCAGGTTACAAGTCTTTTAATCCTTTTGTTGGCATTTAAAATAGATAACAGTTGGGGCCTGGAGAGAGACGGGCTCAATGGTTAAGAGCACTAACTGCTCTTCCAGAGGACCTGGGTTCAATTCCCAGCTCCCACATGGCAGCTAACAACTGTCTGTAACTCCAGTTCCATGGGAATCCAACACCTTCTGATTCCATGTGCATTGCACGACACAGTTGCACTTGCACACATGCAGGCAGTACATTCATACACGTAGAATAAAAATAAAATATTTAAAATAAGTAACAAGGAAATTCAAATCTGTACTTCATCTCTGATTATTGAATGATCTCCTTGAGTCTCAGTTCCCTCGTTTATAAGATGTTACAGTATCCCTATTTATAAGTTATGTAGCTTATTTTTTTAATATTTTATATGTTGTTTTTATTTGCTGCGTATGAGTGTATTGCTTGTATGTAGGTAGGTACATCTGTGTTGTGAAATGTCCATAGAGGTCAGAAGAAGATGTTGGATCCCCTGGAACTGGAGTTACAGATGGTTGTTAGCTACCATGTGGGTGCTGGGAACTGAACCTGGGTCCTCTGCAAGAGCAGCCAGTGCTCTTAACCGCTGAGCCACCTCTCCAGCCCCATTGTTACATAGTTTAAAAGAAGTATATGATTGGGACTGGGGTGCCGGCTCAGTGGTAAGTCCTTGCCAGGGAAATGTGAGGACCTGATTTTGAATCCCCAGAACTCACATAAAACCCAGAGGAAGTAGTGTAAGTCTGTAACCCAGTGCTCTTAACTGCAAGGTGGGAGGCAGACAGGAAACACCCACAGCTGCAAACAACAGAGACCACGCCTCAAACAAGGTGGTAAATTGGAAAAACTTATAAATTTTCATTGGCTACTTTTGGGGACAGTGAGGGCCTGGGGACAAATGAAGGGGACCTGGGGGCCTGGAGCATGGGGAACAGGTGTGCTTGTGCTTTCTTACTTTCTGTCTTGGCCAGAACATGCATATTCTTTATCATGCCTCTCGGAGCAGGCATTATCCTCCATAGATTCACAGGAGGTTTGGAAACATCCTCAGAATTACCAACACTGCAAACAGCCAGGTGATTTTCTCTCCCTTTTTGTTTTTGTTTTTGTCTTTTTGAGGCAAGGTCTCCCTGTAGCCCCAGCTGTCCTGGAACTCACTATGTAGACCAGGCTGGCCTGGAACTCTCAGAGATCCACCTGTCTCTGCCTCCCAAGTGCTGGAACTAAAGGCGTGCATTACCACGCCCGGCTCTTTTCTTTTTTTAGATTTTAGTTACTTTTATGTGTATACATATTTGCCTGCATGTAAGTGTACTACATGGGTGCCTGGTGCCTGTGGGGGCCAGAAGAGGGCATCAGATCCCTGGAACTGGTATTAAGTGTGGGTGTTAGCTGTGGTGTGGGTGCAGGGAACTGAACCTAAGTCCTCTGGAAGAGCAGCAAGTGCTCTTAACTTCTGAGCCATCTCTTCAGCCCCCTCACCCCCTTTTTGATAGTATAAGGGTTCATTGCTTACATGATTGATGAAATGGGTAATGTCTTAAAGTAGATGCTATAGAGTCTAGAGTACCACAGGATTCACCTCTGCTCATTTATTTGAAGCAGTCTCAGTGTAGCCCAGCCTCACACTTGGTATGTCCCAAAGATCACTTGAAATTCTGATCCTTCTGCTTCTGTGTCCCGAGTGGTGTCAGGATTACATGGTTAAAGGCACGCATTGCTACACCCGGCCAGGGTATCTATTTTCATTCTCTCATTCACTCATTCTCTCTCTCAGATTTATTTTTGTTTGTGTGCATGTGCACGTGTGTGCAGTGCCCAAAGAAGCAAGAAGGCATTGGATTCCCAGAAACTGGAGTTACGGGCAGTTGGTTGTGAGCTTCCTGACGTGGGTGCTGAGAGCTGCACTCCACTTCTTTGGGAAGAGGAGCAAGTGCTCCTCACAACTCAGCCATCTCTCCAACCCTCATTTCTAATTTTAACAGATTCTGAAATTGGACATTTTTGATACTGCATAGCAACTTTTTTGTTTTGTTTTTGTTTCCTTTGTTACTGTTCTGTTTTGTTTTAAGATTAGTCTTCTTGTGTAGCCCAGACCAGCCTCAGACTCAATAGCAGTCCTCCTGCCTCAGCTTCCTGAGTGCTGGGATCACAGGCATGCAGCACCAGGCCTGGCTGGTATCTCCTGTCTTCGTATCTCCGTTCTGTTGGTCCTTGAGCTCTGAGACCCACATGTTGGCTCCCTAGCCTGGTAAGAAGTATCTGCCTGCTTTAGAGATCCCCTTTGTTAGTCAGGCAGCTTCACCAGGTCTGCCCACCACACTGCAAAGCAAGCATAATAATAGATACCCCTCAAGGTGCTGAAAGGGTTGATTGAGACCATGGATTGGGGAGCAGACATCTTAGCTAGTGATGGAAGTCTCCAGGCTCTCCATAATTTTATGATGCAAAGTTAAAAGCCACAGGGCAAGAAGTCTTTATGGTTTTGTTTATTCAGTTGTGAGCAGTGTTTCTGGAGCCCCAGGACAGGCTCTGTTCCCAGTGTTCACAGCTCTCCTCCATAGGCTGCTGTTGATACCCAGATCATTTACTGTTGCAGTTTGTGTTTGCAGGCTGAGTGCCAGACCAGGAGTTGGAGGCATCCGATCTCGAGTTGGTATCCAGCACAGCCTCCTCAGTCAGCCAACACGCACAGCCACCTTCCAGCAGAGATTTGATGCCCGGCAGAAGATAGGCCTCTCAGATGCCCGGCTCAAGCTGGGAGTCAAAGATGCCCGGGAGAAGCTTTTGCAGAAAGATGCTCGGTTTCGGATCAAGGGGAAAGTGCAGGATGCCAGAGAGATGCTAAACTCTCGAAAACAGCAGAGCATGATGCCCCAGAAGCCCCGCCAGGTGGCCGATGCCCGGGAGAAGATCAGCTTGAAGAGGCGATCCCCTGCAGCCTTTGCAGGCCCACCTGTTGGGACAGTGACTCCTGCTCTCAAGCTCACCAAAACCATCCAGGTAGGATGTAGCTTCTGACCTGGCTTTCCAGAAAACCAGGAAGAGAGGTAGAAGTAGATCGGGAGACTGAGGACGGGCGGGTGTGTTGGGTAAAAATGCAGTCCTTCAAAGTGTTGGCCCAACACTTTCCTGCTTTCTAAGGCCCAGTATATATTAACAATGGCCTGTGGAGACAGCAAAGTATTGTCTCCTGTGTAAAAGCCAAAAAAAACCCCAAAACCGAACTGAAACAAATAGGGAGGAAGAGAGGACAAAGCATACTGGGCACATGTGCCTGGCAGGCACTTAATGCATTTTCTCTTTACTCCCAGAAGATAATGTGTCTAATATTACCCAGCCGATCAGTGGGAGGACCAGCATAGGAGCTCAGTCAGATGTGACTGCTTGTCCGGTGCCCTGGCCACCCACACAACCACCTCTCCAGAAGGCATGGCAGCTGTGTTTAATCTGTGTTAGCATTGTTCACAGGGACAGCAGCAGCAGCAGCAGACATTGGCTGAGCCAAGTTCGTTGAGCCCTACACATGCATTGTTGCATGATTTTTGGGATGGTGATACTTTCCTGCTTATAGTTCCTTTTATCAAAGGTCCAAACTATATGCCAACCATATTTCAAGTTCATTGACCTACTCAGAATGCACATGAACCCTTTGGGATGGATTGTGACCACTGGATGTTTCTAGGTTCCACAGCAAAAGGCTATGGTGCCACTTCATGCCCATCCTGCTGGAATGAGGATCAATGTTGTCAATAACCACCAGGCCAAACAGGTAGAATGGATGAGTGTGTGTGTGCCCACAAGGGATCATGTAAGCCTGCATGTGTTCTTATAAGATCTGCTTGGGTGGATTGAAGACTGGCCTAAGGTTCCCAGTTCAAAGTGTTCCAGGAGGGTTTTCAGTTTGGCAATATGTGAGTCTTAAGAAGAAACTTGTGGCCAGGCGTGATGGCGTACACCTTTAGTCCCAGCACTTGGGAGGTAGAGGCAGGTGGATCTCTGTGAGTTCGAGGCCAGCCTGGTCTCCATAGTGAGTTCCAGGTCAGCTGGGGCTGCAGGGAGACCCTGTCTCAAAAAGACAAAAAAAAAAAGAAATTTGTGGGTCTGGTGGCACACACCTTAAATCCTACTACTCAGAGGCAGAGGCAGGGGCTATCTCGGTTCCAGGGTAGCCTAGTCTATACAGTGAAGCCGCTTCAAAAAGAACTTGCTGGAAATGATGGCTCACACCTGTAACCCCAGCACTTACAGACTGAGGCAGAGTGAAAAATTTGAGGCCTGTCTGGGCTACATAGTAAGACTCTGTTTTTTGTTGTTGTTGTTGTTATTGTTTGTTTTCTTTCGGTTTTTTGAAAGTCTCTCTGTAGCCACAGCTGGCTTGGAACTCACTATGTAGACCAGGCTGATCTTGATCTTCAGAGATCCACCTGCCTCTGCCTCCCAAGTGCTGGGATTCAAGTTGTGCACCACCACACCCGGCTAAGACACCCTGTTTTTTAAAAAAGAAAATAAAAACAACTTCTTAAGCCATGCATGGTGGTGTATTCCTATAATCCCAGCATTCAGGAGACAGAAGCAGGAGGACAGCCTCAGCTACACAGTGGAGACCTTGTCTCAAAAAAAGCCCACTCAGGTCTCAATGTAGTGCATCTGGCTTCCTCTTGACTATGTAGCCAAGGATAACATCGAACACCTGATCCTTCTGCCTCCATTTCCTGGTTTATGTAGTGCTAGACTTTGAACCTGGGGCTTTGTGCATCCTACCAACTGAACTCCATTCTCACAAAAAAAGGAGAAACTTTTTTTTTTTTTGTCTTTTTGAACAGACTGGCCTGGAACTCACTGTGTAGACCAGCTTGGCCTCAGTCTCACAGAGCTCTTCCCTCTGCTTTGATTAAAGGCATGTGCCACCCCGCCCCAGCTCCCAAGAAGAAGCTTAATAAGGAAGGGAAGCATAAGGGACAGGGCAAATTAAATTGTCACTAAACTAAAAGTTACATGTCATTGATGTGGACAATTTAAAGATGAGTCCTTCATGCGTGTGTTAAGATTAACTCTTTCTTAGGTTTTGGTTTTGGTTTTTTGATGTGCTAGGGCTGGAACTCGGGCCTTACATGGGCTAGGCAAGTGTTCTAGTACTGAACCGCTCTTCAGCCCTCCTTCCTGTTTTTTGTTTTATTTTATGTATATGTGTGTTTTGTGTCTTAAGTGTGCTATACATGCAGTGCCTACAGAGGTCAGAAGAGGGCATCAGGTTCCCTGAAACTGGAGTCCCAGAAGGTTGTTAGCCTCCATGTGGGTGCTGGGAACTGAACCCAGGTCCTCTGCAAGAGCAGCTAGTGCTCTTAACTGCTGAGCCATCTCTCTAGCCCCATTTTTTTTTCCTGGTTCTTGCTGTGTCAATGTATTTGATTTAATACATAGGTGGAGTCGAGGTCATGGTCTTAATTTTGTGCCATTCTTCTTTTTCATAACTCAAAACAATTTTTGGATTGTTCATATTTTCATAAATAAAATTTTTAACAACTGGATGACCCACTGATTGAACGTTTTCCTTGTTAGAAACATCATAGAAACTGCTAGGAACATCTTTGGAGCTAAAACTCTTTGGAGGGTTTAGGTTTACTCCTGTGGATTGTACATGGGTTGGACCTTCCAAGCCAGATGATAAGCAGCCGTGTGCTGCACAGTGACAGTGGTCAATGGCAGACTGCATGCAGTGGCATACTCCACAGCCTAGGCATGTGCTGGGTTCTTCTGTCTAGGTGTAAAGTAGTCCGAGTGCACTCTGTCCACAGTGGAGTCCTTTCTCGGAATATATCCTCATTGTTAAGTGACGCATGACTATAAAGTGTTTGAGAGATTCTGGATAAATATATGCTATTTATACTTCCAGCAGTGTGTCAAGCACTTGGGAGGCTGGGGCATGAGGAGTCAGCATTGAGACCAGGTTGGGCGCCATAGATTCTGTTTGCACAAAAAAGGAAACTTCTGAGATGTTTGGAAGTTGTAGCACTTTTTAACTTTATTGGGTTCTGTGGGTAGGTGTCACCTTAGAAGGACTTGAAGCCCCAGCCATCCAGACCAGTCTCCCCAGGTGCCTCCACCCACGTGCCCAGCTCCTTTCTTGATCCCTTGTTCACTCCAAAAGTCATTTTCCTGTTCTTGGTTCAGTGTGTGTCAAGGCCTGCGTGCCATAGTAGGATTTACCCCATCCATCTGACTGTGTTTTCATTCAGTGGTGCTCGGGAATCACTGAGTTACACCTTCAGCCCAGCTTGTATTTCTTTATTCTCAGAACTTGTATGACCTAGATGAAGATGATGACGTGATAGCACCTATTCCTACTAAGCAGATGAAGTTTGCAGCCACGGGCGGCTTTCTCCACCACATGGTATGCAGTTTCCCTTTCTCTACACTCTGCATTGGGTCAGGAGGATGGGAGAGGCTGTGGAGAATAGAGACTCTCGTTGATTTAGATTACAGGTTTTTCAGAGCTGTAACTAGCCAGCTCCTTGATTTTTTTTTTTTTTTTTTAATACATGCCATGGCTGTGGTATCCTGGAATTTGATCAGGTCCCACAGCACGTGAGATGCAGAGTTCCCAGGGGCTGGTTTGAGACACTTGAGGGAAAGTTGAGTGTCTTAGTGTCTTTCTACTGCTATAACAACGCAGCAGGCTGGGTAAACTGTAGACTGTAGGTGTTTACTCAGTTCATGCTCCTGGAGGCCAGGAAATCAAGGGGCTGCATCTGGCAGGGGCCTTGTCACAAAGTCAGAATGTGGAAAGCAGGTGATCATGTGGAAGTCAGAGATGAGCTGAACTCGCCCTTTCCTGTGGAGCCCACTCCTGATCACCTTGCTCCATCTGTGGGAGGGTGTCCTGAAGACCACAGCAGCTCTGAAAAGACCCAACTCTAAGAACTGTTACTGAGGAAGTGAGTTTTAGAGGAGACATTGAAACCATAGCAGTGAGTAGTCCGATAGGAGGGAATCCATTTCTCTACCTTTGCAACAGAACATTCTGTGTACCCCTGGCCCTTGGTGGTTAGCACCTCTTCCCACTCTTGGATTCTGGATTTCTGGGGTGGTAGTTAGCAAGAATAAAGCTCACTTGAGCCATGGCCTTCAGCAGGTGTAGCACATGTGCAGGGAAAGCTGACCAGCAAGAGTGCTGACCAAGTATCCTGCAGAGACTCAGTTTTGGTCACTGGAGTGTGGGGACCAATTTCTTGGTTACTAATGAAGTTCTTAGAGTGGTGTATGAAACTGAATGTTGCCAGTTTGTTTATTTACAAAGGGACCAGGCCTTTCCACCAATTGGACTCTTTGGGTCTGCCTGATCATCAGGTGTTTGTGTTCTTGATGAACCCCAATTGAAAGGACAGTTTTTATAGTGACTGATTGGCGATTTAAAAAGATTTCTTCTCCCTCTCAGTGACAGTATGATTTCACTTGTTTTTTCAGACAAGGAAGCAGGCACAAAGGCACAGGTTAAATGAACCTGTTTAACATTACCTAGCTTATAAGTAATAGATCAAGTTGGGCCAAAATATTGTGGCTCCCAGGGTCACATGGGTAACCACTGCACTGTTCTGGCTCTTGAAACACAGAAGGTGGCAGGAGAAATGTGGAGTCTGGCATGGGAAGGATGTTTCACCTAGACTTGGAGAAGCCTGGTGAATGACCTGCCCCATACGTTGATTTCCCTCTCTGACTGTGACATCCCTCCTTCCTGGTCAGTGCCAACAAACCTTGTCCTAAATGGGCAAGCCCATCTACTTTAGTGTCATGCATCTTTAAGTTTATGTTGTCGAGGGACTATATCCTCAGTTGGCATAGGGATTGCTGATGGTCTGTGCACACCAACTCTGCCATCCTGCCTCCGATGGTCTGGGAGCTGCAGAAGCTATGTCTGTGCACATTGCCACTGCATTTCCAGATCAGAGACCAAAAGTCTAGGCGTTCTCTACCTTTTTGAGTGTCTGCGTCCAGGCAGCTTGTGGTTGTGATCATTCCATTATGGTAGAACCTTATCTAGGAATGAACTTGACCACAAGCTTTCAGCCTCCTGACCAGCTGCAAGTTACAGGGTTTTCTTTTTTAAACTTTTTTTTTTTTTTTTTTTTGGTCTTTTTGAGACAGGGTCTCCCTGTAGCCCCAGCTGTCCTGGAACTCACTATGTAGACCAGGCTGGCCTTGAACTCACAGAGATCCACCTGCCTCTGCCTCCCGAGTGCTGGGATTAAAGGCGTGTGCCACCACGCCCAGCTTACACAATATTTTATGTGTATGAGTGTATTGCCTCCATGCATGTAAGTGTACCCATGTTGCACAGTGCCCACAGAGGTCAGAGAGGGTGTTGGGTCCACTGGAGTTGCAGATGGTTGTTAGTTGCCATGTGGGTGCTGGGAACTGAACCCAGGTCCTCTGCAAGAGCAGTCTGTGCACTTAACTACTGTGCACTTAACATCTTTCCAGTCCCTAATTACAGGGTTTTTGGAAAGTTTGAATGGTATGGGTGAGCCTGTTGGTCCTGAGCAGATTTCTTGGTCAAAGCTTTATGGAAGCTTCTTGCGAAGATGTAGTGCTATGGAAATGGCTCCTGTGTGCTTTCCAGCAGGGTCCTGTCAGTGCAGGCTGTGTGCTTTTCTCACCTCTTGCCCTTCCCTAGAGGATGTCACTGGTGGTTGGCAGCCCCCACCCCTCCTACTACCCAAGAGACTTAGACTGGGTGGGATTGAGGTATTCTTGTATTCAGCTCATTGTTAACCCCTCAGACAGTAGAGTCTGCATCTCTGACTTCTCAAACTTCTTTCTGCCTGTTTGTGCAGACCGGGCTGAGCAGTTCCAAACTCTCCATGTCTAAGGCCCTCCCTCTCACCAAAGTGGTTCAGAATGATGCATACACTGCTCCTGTTCTCCCCTCCTCTGTGCGAACAAAATCCTTGACCAACATGTCCCGGACGCTGGTGAACAAGGAGGAGCCTCCCAAAGAGCTGCCGCCTGCTGAGGTGAGGTGAAAATGATCACCCCAGTAAAGAGTCAGCCTGTGTTGGGTGGTCAGTGGGTCCTCAGAGTACCCCTGGGAGGTGGCATTACCACCCCCCTTTTTGTTTGTTGTTGTTTTTTGGTCTTTTGAGACAGGGTCTTCCTGTAGCCCCAGCTGTCCTAGAACTCACTATGTAGACCAGGCTGGCCTTGAACTCAGAGATCCGCCTGCCTCTGCCTCCCAAGTGCTCCTTTTGAGAATGAACAAGAAAATACCTAGGGACCCTGCTCTCAGAGTGCTTGCTGGGCAGTGGTGGGACACCAAACCTGTAGAGAGATCATCCTATGTAATGATGGGGTTTCTCAGAAGAGAGCTGCTGGGAACCATGAAGAAAAGGCATCCTGTGCCTCTTAGAAATGAGAAAATGTCATCTGAGCCAGCTGGGTCTGGAAGCTTTAATAGTATTCTGTGCAGGCTTGGACCTGAAAGGCCTGTATATTCAGAAAGTAGTGGGGGTATGGTGGCCTCTACTGTCCAGGGTGCCTAGTGTCATGGATGGGCACCTGTATAAGGTTTCTGCTGGGCCTCCCTGGGTGCTTGTCTGTGGAGTGGGTATATGAGAGCATGTCTGCCGTTTGACTCCTCATAATGTTCTTGTCTCTGTGGCAGCCTGTGCTCAGTCCCTTGGAAGGCACCAAGATGACTGTGAATAATCTGCACCCTCGAGTCACTGAGGAGGACATTGTTGTAAGTACCATGGCTGCCAGAACTTTAAATCTGAGACCTCTTCTGTGGTGCAAGTCCCTAAGACCACACACCAGTTTGACGGTTTGCTGGAATTCACAGGACTCATATGGGCCTGCTCAGGGTTGTTATTACCACACAAGGATACAGAGCAAAATCACCAGAAGGCAGAGTCTGAGGGAAAACAGGCACAGTCTCCAAGTAGGTCACACAGGATGAACATTACTCCCCCAAGTTAGGATGGCTCTTGAAACCAGGGGTCCAATAAAGACCCAGTGCTCATGTAGGCATCGTGGGCATAGCATATACCAGAATTTACCATAAACTATTTTACTTACAGTTTAGCGCTGGTGAGCTACTCCATCAGTTAGGAGTATTGGGAACCCTCTTGAAATCCAAGTTTTTAGACACCAGCCAAAGGCCTCAGGTGGGCTCAGCTGGTCCATCCTGGGATAGCAGAGGCGGTCTTTGTGTGGGAAGACTCCATCACTCCATGTGAGCCTTGAGAGCAGGACTTTCAGAGCACAGCAGCCGATCCAGCTCTGGTCACTGTCTCCTGCACAGCTTCTAAACCAGACTCACTTGCCCAGATTGCCTGTCTGATCATGGACTGTCTGTGTCCTAGGGTCCTAGGTGGGTTACCTTTGTACTGTGGCACAGTATTCATGGTTGATGTTTTCGCCTGAGTCTTTGGAGCTCCCTGCCTCCTTTGGGATTCCATCTTGTGAAAGGACTTGAGATGGATCAGCATTGTCTGGTGTGTGACCTCTATAGATTGCTTTTCTGGGCCATTCTGTCCTGCCCACAAGCCATGGGCATAATCATAAGTCAGATGCTTGATAAATGTGAGCCTGGAAGCAGCCAGAACTTCTTTCCAACCCATTATCTTTAGAGATCCTGGAATGCTTTCAACGTCAAGTAAATACACCTGGAGACTGCAGCTGCCCCCCTAGCCAGAGCTCAGGGTCTCGTAGCAGCTCCTCCTGACTGATAGAGACTTGTCCCTGGTCTTGACTGGGAAGCATGTGAGTGCTTTGTGCATGACTTCAGAACTAAGCAGGCTCCCCATCTCAAGCAGATGCAATCTTGCCAGTAGCACACACAGGCTTATCCATTGCACTCCAGAAAGGCTGACCCCTAATTTCCGTAAGTATGGAAGACTTGACCTGGGTAATTCGTGGTAGTGGAGGACTGCTTTCACATTCTTCCTTGTAGTAAAATTCAATCTTTTCTTTTTTTTGGCTTTTTTGAGACAGGGTCTTTCTGTAGCCCCAGGTGACCTGGAACTTGCTATGTAGACTAGGTTGGCCTCTTTCTCACAGAGGTCTGCCTGCCTCTGCCTCCCCAGTGTTGGGATTAAAGGCGTGTGCCACACCTGGCTATTTTTTTTTAATGTTATTTTGTGTATATGAGTGCTTAGCCTGCATGTGTATAAGGGCACCCATGTCATGCAGTGCTCCAGAATCCAGAAGAGAGCATCAGATCCCTTGTAACTGGAGTTACAGACAGTTGTTAGCTGTCCTGTGGGTGGTGGGAACTGAACCCAGGTCCTCTGGAAGAGCAACCAGTGCTCTTTAACTGCTGAGCCATCTCTCCGAACGTACCTCAACCCCAGGTTGGCCTCGCTCAGAGATTCGCCTGCCTCTGCCTCCCAAAGAGTGCTGGGATTAAAGGCATTTTGCCACCACATCACCTTCTTTTTTTTTTTAAGACAGATCTCTCCAGCCCCTTAAAATTAAAATCTTGAGGGAAAAAAAAATGATTTCAGTTGGCCAAGTGTTGTACTAAGTTTTCGTCCCATTTCCCTTCTTGGGAGGTTTGTGTGGGGGCCCTCTTAGGCCCCAGGGCTCACAGACTAACATAAGACGTTTTTAGTTTGGGTTTTGTACCATTTTATGACATTTGGGAGTGGGGGGTGACTTACAGGAAATAGCTTCCCATAATCCATGTGCCATTCAAGCCTGCCAGTAGCCTCCATCAGTGTCCCTCGCCCACGTGCTGTCTCACCCCATGGGCAGGGCGTTCGCCCAGCTGTTCTGGCTCACTCCCATAATGTCCATGCTAGCTCTCCGTATTGCAGCCAGCTCTGCTCCTCTTACCAGGGCGCTTCTCGTCTTGCCCCTGGCTGGCTTACACTTTTCGGAGGAATGAGTAATTTTCGGGCTACACTGAGCATGGTAACTCATACTTGTAATCCCAGAGACCAGGGCAGGATTACCACAAATTCAAGGCCAGTCTGGGCCTCATAGCAAGGTCTAGACTAAAGAAAACACAGCTTAAGAGAAACTTAGAAGTGATCACTCTGCTGAAGAGAGCACCCGCAGTGACTGCTCCTCTCTTCTGGTCTTGGTGTTCAAGTCCTATGCCCTAGGAATCTCCTCCATCAGTCACTGTTAGTCTCACTGAGTAGAATCCAGAATTTGTGGTTCTAACAGACTCCCAAGTGAGGTATTAGCCTTGATCTTTGATGAGCCTGCCTTCCCATTCTATGCCACTCCTCACTGGAATTCCAGAAATTGTTACTTACTGAGGTGGATGTGAAGGACTTGGGCAGTGACTTTGTAAGAGGTCTTGGGGACACAAGGCGTTTAGACCAGCCTTCCTGCCTCACCTACACCCTTATTGCCAAAACAGCTTGTCCCTTAATCTAGTCCTGGTTGATGAGAGCAGGGGCATGGTGGCACACGCCATTAATCCCAGAACTTGAGAGGCAGAGCAGGTGGATCTCTGAGTTGGAGGCCATCCTGATCTACATAGCAAGTTCTAGGCCAGCCAGGGCTATGTAGTGCGGCCCTGTTTCAAACCCCCCTTCCCCTCAGAAAAAAAATACCAGAGCTGGAGCCGTCCTGAAATCTTGGACATGGGCTGCAGTGTAGCCACTGCAGAATCCTTGGAGTGGAAATGGCAGGGAGTCAGGATTTCTCTCCCAATCCCTGTCTGCAGGAGCTCTTCTGTGTGTGTGGAGCCCTTAAGCGGGCTCGACTGGTCCATCCTGGGGTTGCAGAGGTCGTCTTCGTGAAGAAGGATGATGCCATCACTGCATATAAGAAGTACAACAACCGCTGTCTGGACGGTAAGCCAGAGGAGGACACTGCCATTGCTTGCCTCTCTTCCTGCTTTTAAGAAGTTGACTTGAGGGAAGCCTTCCTCTGAGATGGGTGGAAAGACATCTTGGAGCACCACCTTCTGGGTCCTCCTGGGCACCAGGAATGGGCAGTAATGTACAGTCTCTTGCATAGTAGTTCATCTCTTACAGGGTCTTGCTGGGGAAGCCAAGAGCCACAGCCTGTCCCTCCAGGTATAGGCTTGTTGGCTGCTTGGAAACAGATTATTTAGAAGCCTGGAGTCTTAGCTAAATGCTGGCTTCTGGGTGAACTCTACTAGTGAGTAAACTGCTTGCCTTTTCTTCCCTTTTTGTTTTTGTTTCGTTTTTCTTTTTTGGGACCAGGGTCTCACTATGTAGTCCTGACTGCCTGGAACTTGATAGGTAGACCAAGGTTGCCTTAAACTCACAGATATCTCCCACCTGCCTCTGCCTCTTGAGCGATGGGATTGAAGGTGTGTGCCACCACGCCCCATCTGTTTGCTCTTTCTTTCTCAAGCTTACTATTGAGAGGAGGTCTTTCTACCACCCTCTTTTTTCATTCAGTGTGTACTGAGTAGTGCTGTGGAACAGAGCTCTATTAGAATCAGGAAGGCAGAGAATAATATAAACACAGGGACTCATGGCATGCCACAACAACCATAATAGTACATTAAAGGTACCTGCTCCCCACCAGGTATGGTAGTGCACACCTTTAATCCTAGCACTCTGGAGGCAGAGGCAGGTGGATCTCTATGAGTTAAAGGCTAGCCTGGTCTACATAGTGAGTTCCAAGCCAATTCCTTACACAGGGAGTTCCCGGCCAGCTGGGGCTATAGGGACACCCTGTCTCAAAAAAAAAAAAAAAAAAAAAAACAAAAAAAAAAAAAAAAAAAAAAAAAAGGGGTACCTGCTTCCCACAGCACCATAACAGTATACTCATACTGAGATAGTTTTAAGCGCTGCAGGAATTACCAGAATGTGACAGAGATTTGAAGTGAGCACTGCTCTTGGGAAAGTGGTGCTAATCTTGTTCTCGTAGGGTGCTGTGACTCTTCCATTTGGAGATGGGGGCAGGGGAGCTCTGCAAAGTACAATAAGGCAGAGCTCAGTAAATACATTTAATAAGTGCCTGAAGTTGGACATGTGTTTTCAATAGGTTGGACCTTTCTTCTTGAGTGGTTTCAGTGACCCACACATTTGTTACCAGTACCTGGGCTTATGTCTGCTGTTTTCTACCCCCTGTGTGGCTTTTAGTTCCTTCTGAGTTCACTGTGTGCTTGGAGTCACTTCTCACAGGTTTGCAGTGTAGTCATTCACCAGAACCTCGTTCAGAGGAACAGTGGCCTTACTGGGTACAGAAGCATTGTCACACGGCACTGACCTTTTTATGTGCTGTTGCTTTTGCACATCCCGTCTTACATGCAACAGTTCAGCCCCTCATCTTTTCTTTTTTTTTTTTTTTAATGTGTACGAGTGTATTGCCTTCATGTATGTGAGTGCACCGGTGTCATGCAGTGCTGCGGAGGTCAGAAGAGGGCTTTGGATTCCCCTAGAACTGGAGTTAAGAACAATTCATAGCCACCATGTGGGTGCTGGGAATTGAACCTGGGTCCTCTGCAAGAGCAATCAGTGCTCTTAACCACTGAGCCATCTCTCCAGCCCCAACCCCTCATCTTTTTTTTTCAGAGTGATTTTTTTTTTTTAAACAATGGACGTATTTTCAGAATTTTAAAAAATAATTTTTATTTTATTTATTTACTTTTTGGTCTTTTTGAGACAGGGTCTCCCTGTAGCCCCAGCTGACCTGGAACTCGCTATGTAGACCAGGCTGGCCTCAAACTCACAGAGATCTGCCTGTCTCTGCCTCCCAAGTGCTGGGATTAAAGGCATGCACCACTATGCCCAGCTTATTTTTAATTTTTTATTGAGTGTTTATACATTTCATACAGCAGCTCTTTTTGAGACTGGGTCTCCTTGTAGACCAGGCTGGCCTTGAACTCAAAATTGTGAGATCCGTCTGCCTCTGCCTCCCAAGTGCTGGGACTACAGGTGGGTGCCACCATGCCTGGCCCATACAGCAGTTCTTAATCAAATTGAGATCTCGCTCCCCTTTCCTGCCCCTCCCCAGCCCCGCTGAATCTCATGCATTCCATACTTGTTAAATCCCATTCAGTCAAGCATTTGTACCGAGATGTCTCTCGGTGCATATTCATCCACTGGGGTCCAGTCAGCCCATCTAGAGATCTTAAGGTCTGCTCTCCCTCACCCAGCAGTAATCAGTCTCCAACAGTTCCCATGCCAGGGCCCACTGCCCATTTCCCTTGCTCCACTCTGGGCCCTTGTCTGATTGAGTTGTCCTGGGTCTTCTGCTTGATGCCGCCATTGCTGTGGGTTCATATGTGCAAGCTTCCAGTGACCTGAAAGCCTTTGTGCCCTTCGTCCTGTGGACACCAAGTCTGTACAGACACATTCAGATCCTTTTCACATAGTTTTATAGCATTGACATTTTCCTCTGTTGGGTGCTTTCCAAACTTGTTTGGGTGACTTCTCGCTGAGTAGTTTCTCACTTCCATGTCCTTCACCTTCTCCATTGTGAAGCAAGGTTCGTTGCCTCTTTGTTTCTTGTTGGTCTCATTACTGAGATTTCTGTAGTGTCCACATGTGTTAGTCTAATTTCTGTTGCTGTAATGAAATGCTTGAGGCTAGGTTCTTTAAAGAAAAGGTGTTTACTTAGCTCACAGTTCTAGAGTTTCAGAGGCAGCACTAGCATCAGCTTGGCTTGAGGGAGGACTTCACTGTTACTGAACTAGGCCTGTTTGGTCATCACACGGTATCTGGCACACTGAGGTAAGCTTGCTCATAAAGCAGTCAAGCATGGTGATGGCAGAGAAGCCTAAAATCACCTCCGGAAGACTTGAGTGTCAGGTGTTACGGTTAGGGTCAGTGTGCTGAAAGGTTTGGAGAAGAGTAGCTTTGGAGGGAAGGAAAAGTAATGAGTGATCTGTGCTAACATAGTCAGCCTTCACACCACTATAGAGTGCATCTTCAGAAAATGGCCATGGGGCTGGAGAGACATTTTAGCAGCTCTTGCAGAGGACCAGGGTTCGATTCCTAGCACCCACATGGCAGTTAACCACCATCCATAACTCCAGTTCCAGGAGATCCAGCACCCTCTACTGGCCTCCACAGGCATTGCACAACATGGGCGCACTTACACATGCAGCCAATACACTGGTACACATAAAATAAAAATAACAAAATTTTTTTTTCTAAAGAAGAAAACGAGCTGGGCATGGTGGTGCACATCATTAATCCCAGCGCTTAGGAGGCAGAGACAAGCAGATCTCTATGAGTTTGAGTCCAGCCAGGTCTACATAGCAAGTTCAAAAAAAAAAAAAAAGAAAAATCAGCCATATTAGTTGCATCCCCAGACCTACAGTGATAGACAACTTCTGTTTGGTTGTACACTCAGTGTCCCAGGCTGGCTGTGAACTGCAGTCCTGCCTGAACCTCAGTGCTGGGATTGTGCCACTGTGCCTGGCTTCAGAGGTGGAATTTGATCCTTGGTCATGGAGATGGTGGCACTTGTCCTTTTGTGGGAGAAATGGATCACATAACAGAGCCTTTTCTTTCTGGTTTTCCAGGACAGCCAATGAAGTGCAACCTGCACATGAATGGGAATGTCATCACCTCAGACCAGCCCATCCTGCTGTAAGTGCCAGAGGGAGAGACGGGCTGGGACAGGGTTTCTGCTGGCCTGTTCTGCACAGCCAGCTCTTTGCTCTAGGGTGAACTGCAGCCCAGTTTCTCTCATCCTCTTCCATTCCTCTATTGTCATGGAAAAGGAGAACAAAGTGGTTTGTCTTGGTCTTTCCAGGGGTTTGACCCTTAGGGATGACACTACAGTGTCCATTTTCTCCAGAGGAAGTGGAGAGCAGGCCAGTCATGGTCCCTTTTTTAAGAGACCACACCTCTTTGTAACTGAGTGTGGTAAACTGATGCGGGTGCCACTGAGTTTTGTTTCACACACTTGGGCAAACATACCTTACTTGGCACTGAGGGCTGTTTGGGGGCCCGAGATGCATAAATTTTGAGGATGGTAGGATGCAACTTTCTAGAAAGGGGAAGGAGGTTAGACTTGACCAAGGTGGGTGGGATCATGCCAAACAGACTCGGATATTTAGAAAGGCAGAATTTGAACCTAGGTAATAAATGGTGTGGTTAGACAAACTTCTAAAACTGTGGTCCAGGAATAAGTTGTGTTCTAAATATATTTTGGAGGGGCTGGAGAGATAGCTCAGCGGTCAAGAACACTGAATGTGCTGGGTGTGGTGGCGCACACCTTTAATCCCAGCACTTGGGAGGCAGAGGCAGGCGGATCTTTGTGAGTTCGAGGCCAGCCTGGTCTACATAGTGAGTTCCAAGACAGCTGGAGCTACAGGGAGACCCTGTCTCAAAAAGACAAAAAAAACCACTGAATGTTCTTGCAGAAGACCTGGGTTCAAATCCCAGCACCCACATGGGAGCTAAAAACTGTAACTCCAGTTCCAGGGGATCCAACAGCCTCTCTGTCCTCCGAGGGCATTGCATGATACGGGTGCACTTCCATACATGCAGGCAACACACACATACACGTAAAAATATAAAAATAATAAAATTATTTAAAAATTATTTTGGAAAGGGACTGAAGAGATGGCTCAGCAGTTAAGAGCACCTACTGCTATTACAGAGGACCCTAGTTGGGTTCCTGTCATCAGCTTTAGGCAGCTCACAACCACCTATAACTTTAGCTTCAGGGAGATCTGACGCTCCTAAGCTCTGAGGGCACCTACACTAATGGGTACATACCCTTCTCCCATGCCCATAATTACAGATTTTTTTTCCTTTTTTTTTATTTTATGTGTATGCATGTATTGCTTGCATGTAGGTAAGTGCACCCATGTCATGCAATGCCTCAGGAGGATAGAAGAGGCTGTTGGGGGTCCCCTGGAACTGGAGTTACGGACGGTTGTTAGCTGCCATGTGGGTGCTGGGATTCGAACCCGGGTCTTCTGCAAGAACAACCAGTGTTCTTAATTGCTGAGCCATCTCTCCAGCCCCCATCATTACAGATTTTTAAAATAAGTATTTTGAATGGTTTTGTGACTTGATTAATTTGGAAATCACTGGGCTAAATAGTTGATTAATTTAGGTCAGACTTGGAAAGATTTGTTTAATATGCAATTATGTATTACCATCTAGAAGGTACACAGAGCGTTTCCTAAACTTGAAACTACAGAACGTGTCAAATTGCAGCACAGTTTTCTCAGCAGTATATAAGAAAAGCACAGGTTTACTAATAAGATGAAGTGAGGTTCTGGTAATGTAGAGAGCATTATACCCATGCCATACTCTGTGGAGAGACCGGCTCATCTAAAGGGAAACTGACAAGGGTTTGATTCTCCTCTGCCCTCATAGGCGGCTGAGTGACAGCCCTACAGTGAAAAAGGAGAGTGAACTGCCTCGGCGGATGAATTCTGCCTCTTCCAACCCTCCTGCCGAAGTGGACCCCGACACCATTATCAAAGCGCTCTTCAAGTCCTCGGGGGCTTCTGTGACCACACAGCCCACAGAATTCAAAATCAAACTTTGAGCAGAAACAGAGCAGAGGAGGGTGGTTCTGTTTCCCATGGCAAAACTTGTGACCAATGGGCTGTCGGACTGAAGCCCCCTGAACACAGGAAGGGACACCAGGGAGAGCTTCCTCACTGGATGGGACCCGCCTTTGTGTTGTGTTCTCCCCCATGCCCTTCTGTGTGTTCATGTTTCTGTAGTGTGTTTCCTCTCCCCTCTACCCATCACCAAGGTAGGCTTGTGTTTGTCAATGTGCCTCCCCAACCCTTGACCCCAAACTGATTTCTCACCTAGAAAGGGTACACTGGGTTGGCATTCTTGTGACCCCGTGGGATACAGGGCAGGGACTCTTCAGAAGGCATTGCTTTTTCTGGAGCTTTCCTGTTCTATTCAAATTTTTCAGACAAAGCAGGGAATGGGTGCCTGCTGTGCTAGTGGAAACCAGGGCAGCTTGAGAGCAGTGTTAGGTCACTGGCCTCTTGCCTTCTCAGCATGGCCGTCTCCAGACCTGACTGCTGGGATACAGAGCTCTGTGGCGGCCCAGGTAGCATGGCTACTCTGCTAGGAACAGTCCACTGCCAACTCCTGGGTAACCTAGAATGATTTCCGAGTCCATGTTCCTCTGTTGTTGCTGTGCCAAATGCCCCAGCCCAGTTTTCATAGCCTTGTGGGTGCCGCTGCAGGGACTGGCCTGTTAGCCCTGTGGTTCTCACCCAGCATGACATCATCATCGTAGCGTGGTTGGGTGCAGGTTCCAGCACCCAGTCAGTTAGGTCTTTGACAGACTCCACTGCCATGCTGTGGCCCTGTGGGCTAGGGGATTGTTAGGATGGGAGCTGTTGGCTGCCTTCTGGCTCCATCAGGGGTGTTGTGTCCACTATTGTGTGTCCCACAGCACGTACAGAGGAGCATTTTCCTGGTGGGGTCAGAGAGCAGACAGAGCGTTCTTCCCAGGCAAGCTGGTGAACCGTTTTCTGTAACATGCTCTAAGGCAGTTGGGGCAAGCCATAGAACACAGGCTTGCACTGATGGCCAGGCCAGCATGGTTCCTGGTGTCATTGATTAGTCCCCTTGTGTATTGTTGGAACTGAAAAGAGAATTAAATTGAAGCTGCCAGAGCTGGAGCAGGTTCTAGGAGTATTGCAAAAATCAGTTGTGTGTGCTATGAAAGGCACAAAACCCAGTAAAGAGAACTTGAATTAATTAATGCTTCCGCAGAGTTAGATCTGCCCAGTTGGAAGGTTCCAGAGTTAAGCCAAACTTGAGTCCTCCCGCTCTGAGGTTGCCCAGCCAGGGAACCTAGGAAAGGTGTCTGGGGTGATCTACCTTGGTATTTAGACTGCTGCTTGTTTTACTCCTAAATGGTACAAACTTAGTTATCTTTAGCAGCTGGAAGACATTCCTCCAAACTTTACCTTTCCTGGGCCAAGAGAGCACCTGAAGACACTAGGACTTGACTTCTCAATCCCTGGGAACAGTTGGGCACAGCTTGGATCTTGTGTAGCTGAGGGATGGTCAGTGCCCTGCCTGGTTCCCCTGCTGTTCCTGAGCCAGGAGTGCTGTGGGTACCAGAGTCGAACTGAGTCCAGCTGCAGCCTCCTGGACACACAGTACTTTGGTTTTTCAGTGTCATCTGGGGAAACCCTTGTGTCCTCCTCCACTTCCCTACATTGCTCATCTGTATCTTGTTGAGAGGAAGAGGCAGTAAGGGATGGAGGTAACCATGTATTACTTTCCATTTCTAAATAAACCTTTGTTATTCCTATCTCTGAGCTATAATTATTTTTTAAAAAAGATTGTTTGGGGGGGCTGGAGAGATGGCTCAGTGGTTACGAACACTGTTCTTGCGGAAGACCTGGGTTTGATTTCCAGCACCCACATGGCAGCTAACAACTGTCCATAACTCCAGTTCCAGGGGATCCGACAGCTTCTGTCCTCCATGGGCATTGCACGACACAGGTGCACTTACCTACATGCAGGCATAGCACTCATAATTTTTTTTAATTGTTTTTACTATGTTTTGTGTCTGTGCACATACACACTTCATAGTGATATGTGGAGGTCACGGAGGGCAACTTGTTTTTTTTTTTTTTTTGAGATGGTCTCCCTATAGCACCCAGCTGGCCTGGAAGTTCACTAATAGATCAGGCTGGTCTTGCACTCAAAGAGATACGACTGCCTTTGCCTCCCAACTCAGGTTGTCAGGCTTGGCGTGCTGCACGTGTCACTGCCTAATTAGCCATCTTGCCCTCTCCCCTCCCCCCGCCTTTTCTTGAGACCTAGTTTCACAATCTAGCACAGACTGTACACCCCAAACCTGAGTACTGGTATTTATAGGCATGTGTTCCAATTCCCATTTTGTTTTGAGACAGGGTTTCTCACTATGTAGTCCAAACTGGCCTGGACCGTAGCAATCCTGCCTCAGCCTTAATTGCTGGGATTACATACATACCCCACCACACCCAGCTGAGAAAAGCTTACTTTGGCTCACTTTAAGAATTTTTTTTAAATTTTACATTTATTTATTTTGGCAGAAGGGGGCACATATGGAAGGACAAGGACAAGGACACCTTGCAGGAGTCATTTCTCTTCCGGTGGGTTCCAGGGATGAAACACGACATAGTTTTGGCAGCAAGTGCCTTTACCCAAGTGCCTTGCTAGCTCTTGGCTCACAGTTCTGGAGGTCTCAGTCTAAGGTTGCTTGCCCTTGCCCCCGCCCCCCATTCAACTGTTTGCACATCACTCTTCTCGCTCGGACTTCCTTAGTGGCTCCATGTACACTGAGTAATTGTTAAGGGGCTTCCAGTGGTCTGCCAGTCCCTATGGGATTGGCCAGGTCCCTGTCCCCTGATCCTCTGGCTCCAGCCTCAGCCTCCCCAAATCCCCAGCACGTTACTCCTTCACTGATTTATTGGCATGTCACTTTAATGACTGATTTTCAAGTTGTAACGCCCCCCCCACCTCTTTCTTCAGCATGTGCGGTAATGCGTATGCTTATACCATGGTGTGTACATACCATATTCTGCATTTTTGTGTGTTTGAGAACTGAGGAAAGCAGAAACTATGCTCATGCTCTTAACAGCCTTGGGCATCTCAGGTACTTTTTCTTTCTTGTCTTTTGTTTTTATTTCTGTGTATATGAGTGAGTGTATTTCCTGCACGCATATAAGTGCACCCGTGTCATGCAGTGTCCTCAAAGGTCAGAGGAGAGCATCGAATTCCCATGGAACTGGCGTTAACAGTGGTTGTTAGCCATCACATGGGTGTTGGGAATCGAACCCGGGTCCTCTGCAAGAGCAGCCAATGTTTTTAACTGCTGAGCCATCTCTCCAGCGCCTCTTTTTTTTTTTTTTTTTTTTTTTTTCCCCCCTGTCTTTTTGAGACAGGGTCTCCCTGTAGCCCCAGCTGGCCTCTTACGCACTATGTAGAACAGGCTGGCCTCGAACTCCAGAAATCTGCCTGCCTCTGCCTCCCAAGCGCCACCACACCTGGCTTCTTTCATTAAGAGTCTCCTTATGTAATTCTAACTCCCTGAAACTGTAGATCAGCCTGGCCTCAAATTCAGTGAGACTGCCTGTCTCTGTTGGGGATTGAAGGTGTGCACCACCACTCCTGGCCTTTTAAAAAATTTATCATAAGTAGAATTTATGTGTGTGTTTACCTGCATGCATGTGCAGGCGAGGCATTAGAGTTACAGACGGTTGTGATCCACCAGGTGGGTCCTGGGAACCGAGCCGGGTTCCTCTTTTTACCATTGGTTGTTTTTTTTTTTTTTGGTCTTTTTGAGACGGTCTCCCTGTTGCCTCAGCTGTTCTGGAACTCACTATGTCGACCAGGCTAGCCCTGAACCTCAGAGATCTATCTGCCTCTGCCTCACCAAGCGCTGAGATTAAAGGCGTGCACCACAACGCTGGGCTCTACCAGTGGTCTTTAAATCAGGAAAGCTGGGGCTTGGGGCCGGAACTGAGAGGGCGGAGCCCCAGGCAGCGCCGACGTCGTGGAAACCTGTCGCGTGTGTACTGAGCGGAACTACAATTCCCAGCAGTCCCCGTGCTTTCGCGGTCGGCAAGATGGTGGCACGCAGGAGGAAACGCGGCCCCCGCGGCTCCAGGGAAAGTCTCCCGAGCCCGCCCGGCTACTCAGGTGAGCGGCTGTGGCCGCCGGAGGGGAGGTGGGCTTCGGGTGGCGGCGGCCGGGGAGCCGCAGCAGAGCCGCGCAGTCCGAATGGGGGAAGGCCGGGCAGGTCGCGAGGCCTCGGGGCCGCCGCCCGGCGTGGTCGGTGCACACGCGCTGGGGCGTTCCTTTCCAGCTGGCTACCCGACTACCTGGGCGGGATTTGCGCGTTACCACGCGGGCTTGACGAAATATTTTTTTTTTATTTTACGTGTATGCGTGGATGGCCTGCATGTGTGTAAGTAAACCCGTGTCGTCGTGCAGTGCCCGCGGAGGACGGGATGTGGTATCCCCTGGAACTGGAGTTACGGAGAGTTGTTAGCTGCCATGTGGGCACTGGGAATCGAACCCGGCTCCTCTGCGAGAGCGGTCAGTGCGCCTAACTGCTGAGCCATCTCTCCAGCCCCCAACCTGTGAGCCGTGTTTCCGGCCCCAACAGCCCCTGACTTCGTGGAGATTAGTATTTATGAATCAAAGAAGCCCTCAGGTGTAGACATCAGAGGCCCTGAGCAGGTGGAGTCAGTTGACTTGGCGTGAGGAGTGGGGCAGGTCATTGAAGCTTGAGTCAAGGCCTGAAGAATGGGTGGAGGGGAAGCGGACTGATGTGCCAAGCAGAGCAGCCTGTGCAGAAAGAGAAGCCAGAGTGATGGGGGTGAAGGTGTGAGAAGAGGCTGCAGTGACAGTACCCAAGGGGCCCCAGCACGGGAGCTGCGGTCTCACTGTGCTCCCGTGGTCATAGTTACCGGATTACATTGTCTCTAGCCCCCAGCTAGCTTGGGAACCCCACTTGGGCAGAGCTCAGTGCAGCGTGGGTGGATGGGTGTACACGAATGGGCAGGCAGACAGATGGTATTGCCGAGGGATGTGGAGGAAGGAGATGTGTGACCCAGGCACTGGCGTCCACCCAGGGTAACCGGCACTCTCCCTGGCCATTTTCCCTGTTAGCTATTCCAGTCAAATTCTCAGAAAAGCAACTGGCTTCTCATTACCTTTATGTGAGAGAGCACAGAGTTCGAGAAGGCACCCAGTCTGTGTGGCCTCAGAAGCACACCCTTTTTGTCCTGAATGTGCCTCCATACTGCACAGAGGTGAGTGCCTGACAAGGGACCTGTGGGTTCCGGAGCAGGGGCTTCCCAGTGCCCTACCAAATCCTTGGGTGGTGGAGTGGAAACAGAACAAGGCCAGTGGAGGGTTTTGAGTAAGCTTTCTCTCAGAACAGGAAAGTGCCCTCACTACCCCCAGCCCTGCCTCCACCCCCATGGAAGTCTCACTCTCTCCTAGGCTGTTGTAACTTAGGTTCTCAGGCTAGCCTCAAGCCTTCTGTACTTCTGCCTCAGGTTACTGAGGGTTGATTACAAATGTGAGCTGTCGGTCCTACCTGGCTTGCAAGTCTTTTCAAAGATTTTTTTGCTGGTTGGTTGGTTTTTCGTTTTTTTAAAGACAGGTCCAGGGCTGGCCTTGGAACTCCTAGGCTAGATAGCAAGACCCTGTCTCAAAAAAAAAATCAAGCAAAACGAAAATTACATGTAGTTCTTTCTAGACATATCTATTAATTTTTTAAAAAAATATTTTATGTATATGAGTATTTTGCCTGTATGGCTGTCCATTCACCTGAATATGCAGTCCTGGAGGAGGACAGAAGAGGGCTCTGGATCACCTAGAACTGGAGTTACAGGCAATTGTTAGCTGCCATGTGGGTGCGAACACTGGTCCTCTACAAAGAACAGCAAGCGCTCTTAACTGCTGAGCTTTCCAGCCCCTATTTGAGACAGGTTTCTTGTGGCCCAGGCTGACTTCAAACTCACTGTGTAGGCTTGTCTTGAACTCCTGATCCTCCTTCCTCCACCTCCCAACTGCTGGAGTTATAAGCATGTGCCACTACATATAGTTTAAAAAGGGAGTTTAGGACCAGTGAGATGGCTCACTAGATAAAGGTGCTTGCCACCACCTGACAACCTGAGTTCCTTCTCTGGGACCCATATGGTGGAAGGAGAAAATTGACCCATAAAAATTCTTCTCAGGGGGCTAGAGAGATAGTTCAACAATTAAGAACACTGTTCTTACAGAAGACCCGGGTTTGAATCCCAGCGTCCACGTGGCCACTAACAATTGTCCGTAACTCCAGTTCCAGGGGATCCAACAGCGGGCATTGCATGATATGGGTGCACTTACCTACATGCAGGCAATACACTCATACGCATAAAATAAAAAAATTCAGCTGGGCATGGTGGCGCACGCCTGTAGTCCCAGCACTGTAGTCCCAGCACGTGGGAGGCAGAGGCAGGCGATCCCTGTGAGTTCAAGGCCCAGCCTGGTCTGCATAGTGAGTTCTAAGACAGCTGGGGCTACAGGGAGACCCTGCTTCAAAAAGACAAAAAAAATTTCTTCTCTGACCTCCACACATGTAACATGGACTGTTCATACTCACACACATACAGATGTGCGTTTGTTCACTTTGCTGTGTTGGAAGTGGGACTCAGCCTTTCCCTGCAAGGCAGGCACTCTACCACTAAATTACATCTTCAGACTTTAGTATCACATAGATTACAAAAGAGGAATGGAATTGCTTGATTTGGGGTATTTTTCTGACAGGATCTCACTGTGTAGCCCTGGCTGGCCTGGAACTCCCTGTGTAGACCAGGCTGGCCTCAAACTCACAGAGATCTGCCTCCCTCTGCTTCCCAGTGCTCAAACTAAAAGTGTGTGCCACCATGCCCAGTGGGATGAATTGTTGTTTTCAGTGGAGAAATACTAAGGCTGGGGATATCCCTCAGTTGGTGGACTGCTTGCCTAGCATGAAGGAGGCCCTGGGTTCAGTCCCTAGCACCACATATATGGGGCTTGGTGGTCCTAGCACCATATAAATGGGGCTTGGTGGTACACACCTGTAGTACTAGCACTTTGAAAGGTAGAGGCAGGAGGACCAGAAGTGTAAGGCTAGCCTCAGCTACATAATGAATTCAAGGTCCACATGGACTACAGGTTGGAGGGAAGGGCTGAGCTATATAGTCCGTTGTATCTCACAAGGTGTGTGTAATCAGCATGGACCCCAGAAAGTACCCTCAAGGCTTGTACGAAGGATCTCCAACTTGCCACTTCTAACACTGTGGAGTTGGCTCTCTCTGACTCGTAGTAAAGCTTAATTAGTTGTCTGAAGTTAGACATTGGAATGTCCTTGGTTTTCTTCTGTCACAGAGACAAGAATGTCTTTCTGCCTGTTTTCTTGGTGGGAAGATGGGGCTCTCAGGTTCCCTGGGTTGGACAGTCATGAATGAGCTCTAAGTCATTCAGGGTCAAGTCCCCTAGCAATGTCACCTTGCTGTTGGAGGCTCCGAGAAGGCAATTCGGATGCTCACGCCCTGCTTCCCTCTGGGCCATGCCAGGAGTGCCTGTCAAGGTTGCTGGCCCCCTGTGGCAACATCAAGTCTGTGGAGTTGCAGAAGAAGCCAGACCTTGCTGAGGGCTCCAGGGAGCCAAAGTCGAAGTTTTTTCACCCCAAGCCAGTGCCGGTAGGTCTCCAAGCACCAAGTTCCACTAGAGTGGAGGCAGGAGATGGGGGTCGGGTGGGATGGGCTCAGCAGTAGGCCGGTCTCCACTGCGTGTGCTTTGGGAGGCTGTCAGGGTGACAGCCTTCGAGTCTTTCAAATGTGCCACAGTCTATGACTTCCTGCCTAGTGTTCTCTCTTGTCCTCTGTTAAAGCTTAGGGACCAGTTTGCCCAGTGTCCTGCAGAGATTCCCAGAGCTCACTTCCCACTTCTCAGGAAGCAGCTTCCTCCTCAGGCCCAGGAGCCCTGCGCTGCTCTTGTCTCCCCAGGTCCCTTCTTCACACCACAAGGGGGCCTGATCCTGGGTGCAGGCCTTGTCCATCTACTCTGGGCCCAGCCTCCATGACCCGCCTTAGCCTGGAGTGAGCCTCTTTTCACAGAGTGGCTCAGAGCTGGAAGAAAGGCCCCCTGGTGTCCCTCTGCCTAGGAAGAGATGAAGTGTCCCTGCAACAGTTAGCGAGGAGCTTGGCCACCCCTCCCTCAGACTCTGGGATGGTATCCAGAGCAGCACCATCACCTCTGGTCCGGGACAGGTGTGGGGACCTTGTGCTGAGTGTGGAAGGGCTCCACACACTCTGACATCCGCACCCTGCAGGGCTTCCAGGTGGCCTACGTGGTGTTCCAGAAGCCAAGTGGAGTGTCGGCCGCCTTGACCCTGAAGGGCCCTCTGCTGGTCTCCACAGACAGCCACCCCATGAAGAGCGGCGTGCACAGTCAGTACTGCTGGCCCTGTCCAGGGCCTCCTGGGCCTTGGGTTGGTGAGGGAGACTTTCTGGGGGTAGCATCTGAATGCCACAAGCTGTGTCCCCTCTCTGAGAACAGCCCCACCAGCAGCCTGGGGTGGCCTGAGCTGGCAGGGCTATTGTGAGGCATACCAAGCAACAGCCTGAGCTTTTGCCACCAGGAGAGAAGGAAAGGGTCTAGTCTGCTGTCACTAGAATGTTCTTAACACCTGAACCTGGGCCCCAAGTCTCTCAACTCTGAGGCAGTCCTGCCTAAGAAGATCCCCACTTGCCCGGCTGTTCCTGTCTGGCCTGAGCTAGCCGTTCCCTTTGTATTCTCTTCTGTCTGTAGAGATTCCTGGTGTAGAGTTAGTGACTTTATTACATATGTGGCAACTAAAGAATGAGTACAGAGAGCAGGCAGGTCTCGAAGCTCGGCACAGCATTCACAGCACCTGGCAGGGCTTACTGGAGCAGCCTGGTGCAGAGGGCTAGCAGAGGCAACATCTCCAATGGGGACTTCAGGTGTCCAGCACAAATCCCTGGGTTGTTGAGGCAGTCAGCAGAGTTCCTGATTGGGCTTCTCTCCTTGGTGAACTTCGGTTTCTCTTGCCCACTGCAGGCGTTTTTATAATATGGGATAAACAATAGTGACCTCTGTTGGCAATGGTCTGCCTTCCAGCTGCTCAAAGGCAGTGTTTCAATACCCTTGGCGGCTTGCTGGCTTTCCCTCTTCCCATTATAGAGCCAGGTGGCAGCCTGACCCAGGACAGGGTTTGGAAAAAATGAAGGCCTCTCACCCCCAGAGTTAGACTTTAGCAGGCTTAAAGAGCACAGTTTAACCAATACGATTTCCATCACACCCTGTCTGTCCCCTTCTCCCTCAGAGTGGATCAGTGACTATGAAGAGTCTGTGTTTGATCCTGAGGCCCTGAGGGTGGAGGTGGACACATTCATGGAGGCCTACGACCAGAAGATAGCTGAGGTAGGGGTCGGGCCCCGCCTATCACCTGTGCCTGTGCCTTGGGACCACAGTACTGTGCTGTGTAGTGTGCCCTGAGGGAATAGTGGCAGCCTGTCCTTGGTTACCATTTTTCCTTAGTGAACCTAGGCCACTTGGCGGGGTGACATGAACTCTCAGTGGCAGGGAGGGGAGGCAGAGGTCACGTTTGTGCCTTAACACTTACTGTGGGGGCCAAGTAGGTCCACAAGCATTGTGGGTGGCCAGGGAGGTGGCTGTGCAGAAGGCCTCTAGCCGACCAGGGGCGTCCTGCTGCTGCAGAGCCTTGTGTGTCAATAGCCTCCTCCATGCAGGAAGAGACCAAGGCCAAGGAGGAGGAAGGAGTCCCTGACGAAGAGGGCTGGGTGAAGGTGACCCGCCGGGGCCGGCGACCTGTGCTACCTCGGACAGAGGCAGCCAGCCTGCGTGTTCTGGAGAGAGAGAAACGGAAGCGGGCCCGCAAGGAGCTGCTCAACTTCTATGCCTGGCAGCACCGAGAGACCAAGATGGAGCGTAAGGGACACCTGAGGGCAGGCCGCAGGCCTGGGGACGGAGGGCATCCTTAGGCACAGCCTGCATGTGCTGCTGGGTCAGAGCCCCTGCCTGTAGCGTCCTTGCACCCCCTAGAGGCGGGGGCAGACCCTGGGATGTAGGACTCCTCCAGATCCCCTGAGCACCTAGAGCTGGAACCTTCTGGCCTCAGCCAACATCCTGGCTGCAGAGGATGCTGAGGCCCTGTGGGGGAAGGGCAGGGCACATGGAGCTCATGTAATGGGTGGCCTGCTTGAATGTTGCATGTGGGAGCACCCACTCTTGCTGTTGCTGTTGTTGCTGCTGCTAAGCTTCCTGCTTGGACATTTCCCCAGTAGGTCTGCCGAGGCCCTGCCTTGGCCTGGCCTGGGTGGACTCGGCACCCACTCTCAGCCCCTGCCCTTTGCTGGCTCCCTCCCTTGCCTCACAGCCCTTCCCCCACCTCAAGTGCCCCTGCCCTGTCCTCAGACCCTGATTTTACCACCTGATTACGGCTTCTATTGCGTCCCCTCCCTGTGGCTGCAGATGTCACCTCTCTGACTTGGGTCACTTAGTGATCACTCACCCTTTGAATTCTGGAGCCCCCTACTCCTTAGTCCTCCCTCACCAAGTCCTATCTAGGGAAGATGCCCCTGGCCTTTTCCTTTCCGGGGGGACACAGGCCTCAGAGCCCCCACTTTCTCTGGGAGCAGGAGAAGACCCTGGGACCCCGTTTTTCTCTTGGGGCTTCTCCCTGGTGCATATCAAGACTCCTCCCAGGCAGTTCCCACCTCAGCCTGACCCCGGCTTTAGTCAAGTAGCCGATCCATTCCCTTGTAGGATTCTGACTGTGAGCCCAGAGCAGAGTGGGATTGGGAGGGTGGGGGAATGCAGAACTGCCCTGGATGTGGGGGTGATGGGGTGTCCTTTAGTGGGGTGGCAGGCCGTTCCTGCACAGTTGCACTGAATGGCCCTCCCCTGTGTCCCCTCATACCCCCAGACCTGGCACAGCTGCGCAAGAAGTTCGAGGAGGACAAGCAGAGGATTGAACTGATGCGGGCTCAGCGCAAATTCCGACCCTATTGAGCTCTTCTGACCATAGTCAGCAGGCTTCGAGAACACAAGGACGGCTAGGCCTGTTCCCTCAGAGACTCTGCTCTGGGGGAACAGATAGCTCCATCTCTGAGTCCACATGAGCTAGAAATGAAGAGCAGGGAATCCTACAGGAGGACCTGGCCTTCAGGGAGCCGCCCCAAGCCCTGGGGAACTCTGGCTGACCCTCTGTGGTCCCCCCCCCCCCCGAATCCTTTTGGAATGCGAGGATAGAGGAAGAGAGCATTTTCTTTCCACACCAGCGGTGGCTGGGACAGGCTCCAGATGCCTCTGAGCCCAGACACCAGTCCAGAGCCGCCGCCTCAGCCCGCTGCTCTCATAAAACAAGCTCCAGACCCAGGCACTGTCCCTCCTCCATCACAGGTGTTGCAGGCAGATCTCCCATGTAACTCTTCCACAGGATTCTCTGATGCTCATCTTCCTCTGGAAGACCAGTAAGGCCCACCCCCACCACACCTGCTTTGAGCATTGAGGGTCCAGAGGCCTGGTGGAGGTTGGGATGTGAGCACAAGGTCTCTGGAACCCAGGCCAAGGCTACAGTGACACTAAGGTCATGCGCTTGCTCTGTAGGAAGGAGGCGATGCTGCTGGCCACAAGGTGGGGCTTGCTCATGTGGATGTAGTGATTGCCAGGGAGTTCCACAAATGAACCACTAGAGGAGGGCACTGCTCACTTGGGGCTCTCCCTTGGCTTATTGCCTGCCAGTGGTCAAGGGCAACCCGTGACCGGCCCCAGTCTTCCAGTCATAGCAGTGGGAGGTGTCCCAACGCTGTGGCACTAAACTGGGTCTGCCAGCGTCAGGGTTGCTGGTGGTGCTGCCAGAAAAGGCCCCTTGAAGACGACGCAGGTAGCACAGGCAGTGGCCCAACTGCTCCTGTTGGGAGAGCCTGCCACACAGCCAGCCTTTTGTGATGCATCAAGGTGTCTGGAGGCCCCAGAACCAGTGATTCAAAGTGGGTGGTGACTATAAAGTGCCAGCTATGACCAGAACGCAGACAGGGTCATTGTTCCAGCAAAGCCTATGCCTGCCCTAGAACAGTCACACCCACCAGGGTGCTGCTGTGGGAATGCTGGGGGCCTGCGGCTGTTGGAGGGGGTTCCCTGGAGTTGTGCCTGGACCAAGGGGGTATAGGAAGGTAATAAAACTGGAAAGTGCAGCCAACAAAAGGTCTTTCCTGGATTCTGTGTGTCTCACTGGTGGGCAGTGAGTCCTGCTGGCTCCTCAGGGATATGGAGAGGTCCAGAGCAGGGGATGATGGTCCAGCCTGCCACAGCTTCCTGTGCACACTTTCCTCCTTGAGGATGGCTTTCAGTGTGTCCACCGTGAAGACCACAGACTCCTTTTTGGAATCATTTTCTTGTCTCACATCAGAGTGCCCCACTTTGCTCTGGGTAATGAGAAAAAGTTAGGGCGTCTCCTAGGTCTGCCTCCCAGCAGTGCCATTGCCCAGGCCTGGGGCTAACCCTATTTTTCCCACAGCTGGGTGTCTTTGAGCCTGGATTTAACCTGAGGGATTTAGTTCAACTCAAGCTCAGCGTTGACAGCTGACCAGCACAAGCTTAAAATGCTCAGGGGCAGGGCTCAAAGTCCTGCCAAAAGTTGAGAGCTATGAATTGTGGGCTGGGATCTGGAACTGGCTCTTAAAGCCAGGCTTTGCTTTAAAAACAAAAACCTGGAGACTGGAGAGATGGTGCAGGAGTTAAGAGCAGTGGCTGTTCTTGCAGAGGACTTGGGTTCAATTCCCAGCATCCACATGGTGGCTAACAAGCATCCATAACTCCAGTTCCAGGGAATCTGGACTCTTCTGACCTCCATGGGCATTGCACGACACAGGTGCACTTACACACATGCAGGTAATGCACTCATAAAATAAAAAGATATTTATGCCCGGCGTGGTGGTGCAAGCCTTTAATCCCAGCACTTGGGAGGCAGGGGAGGCAAATCTCTGTGAGATTGAGGCCACCCTAGTCTACGTGGGGAGTTACTGGGCTAGCTGGGGCTACAGGGAAACTTGGTTTCAAAAAGACCAAAAAACTCCAATAACCCTCACCCTGAACAGAGTCTGTGAGGTGGCTCAAGGGGGTAAAGACCCTTGCTGCCAAGCCTGACTGACCCTCTGAGTTCAAGGCCAGCCTGGTCCACATAGCGAATTCCAGGCCAGCTGGGGCTACAGGGAGACCCTGTCTCAAAAAGACCATGAAAAGCAGGACAGACGGATCGTGCAAACTGCCCCAAGCTGGCCCCAGGTTCTAGTTTTCCTGCCTTAGCCTCCTGAGCCCTGATGTGAGCCAGCCATTCCCAGCCAGTTCCATAGTTTTAAGTTTAGATTCACTTGACTTAGGATGGGGTTACATTCCCCAAACTCCATGGTAAGTTGAAAACTTAAGTGAATGGATTGACTAAGCCTCTGAATGTCCTAGCTATACAGTCCACTGCAGAGCATGGAGCCTTTCCCTACAGTTTCCCAGCTGCTCAGCATCAGGGAACAGGATCAGGCTAGACCAACTGGGTATTGCTAGCCCAGAAAGTTACTAATTCAAAATCCCCAGATGTAAAGGCTGCAACATCTGTCATCCCATTGACCACTTGGGTTGATCAAATGATGTGGCTGTCTAGGAAAGTGTCCCCTTCCTCAGCTTTCCTGATACATGGACACTTCATCAGTCAAGGGTATACGAGTAACAACCTCCTTCTCAGAACGTCCAAACCCTCTGTCTACTGAAGGCATACTGCTCTCTCACCACAGGAGGTGAGATCGTCCTGGTAAAGCCACCATAAGGCAGGCTCCCCAAGACACCTGTGATTGTGGTGCAGCTGTCACTCCTGCTCCCGGCCCTCCTATCTTTGTTGGTTTTTTGAGACAGGGTCTCCCTGAAGATCCTGCTGGCCTGGAACTTGCTGTGTAGACCTGGCTGGCCTCAGTGAGATCTGCCTGCCTCTGCCTCCTGAGTGCTGGGATTAAAGGCGTGACCACCACGCTCGTTTCTTCCTGCTAAGGACACTTTCCAGGAAAGGCTGCATGGGTAGCAATGTGATCCCACATGGGGAGAACTGGGCAGCTTGTGCCCAGCTCCCCCTGGAGGTTCCTGGTCCCTGAGCCTGACTGAGGACACTGGCTGCAGACTCACTTCATCACGGGACCCTTCAGGCTTCTGGTGAAGTTCACGAACATATCCCTGATCACAAATTCTAAGGTATTCTCCAGCTGCAGAAACAAAATCAGATGAATCCCCACCACAAGGCATCATGCACTCTTGTGCTCACAAAGTCCATCTGTTAGGGCAGGTGGGTCCCACTGGCCACCTGGGTCCCCCACTGCAAGACGGAGCCCACTATCCAACCAGTCACTTCCTCATCAAGGCTTCTGACTCCCATCCCCCAAAACACATTCTTCCCTCATCCCTCAAATAAAGGATGCTTACTACAATTGGGCTAGGGCTGTAGCTCAGGGGCAGAGAGCTTGCCTAATATGTGTTGGGCCCTAATATGTATTTGATCCCCAGTATTTCCTACATACATGCATACATAAACATTGGAGGGGGGATAACTGATTTCACCTCATCTTTTTACTTAAAATCCTTTATTTTATCTGTGTGTTTTGTCTACATGTAAGTCCGCCATTTGGCATGCAGTACCCACAGAAGCCAGAAGAGGGAATTGGATCCCCTGGAACTGGAGTTATGGATGGTTGTTAGCTGCTGTGTGGGTGCTGGGAACTGAACCTGGGTCCTCTGCAAGAGCAGCTGGTGCTCTTAACCACTGAGCCATCTCTCCAGCCCATCTTTTTACTTTTTAAATATGACTTGTAGAAAATTTAAAATTAGGAGGCTTCGGTGAACTAGCTGCTGAGTCCTGGTATTGCTTGGGACCAGGAGTCTCAAGCTTTTCTGTATCACAGCTTTCAGTGTAACTGATGAGAAGCTGTGTGCTGAGGTGATCCATTCCAGAATGTTCCAGTAAAGACTCACTCTATCCAGTCACACCCAGTACTCATACACTGGGAATGGCTTCCGGGAATCACACATCAAACTTTTGCAAGTTAATCATATGCTTTGAGATTATTTAGAACTATTCAGTCTGTTTTCCTACTGTACACTTGATCTTGTTTCATTTTAACTAGCCTCTAAGAAAACCAAGGTCTGATTAAGTACAAGCTAAGCTGATCACATAGCTTTAACCTTATACCACAATCCCTATTGTGACTCTGTAATGCCCCTGACTCAAGAGAGAGGGAGAGAGAGAGAGAGAGAGAGAGAGAGAGAGAGAGAGAGAGAGGGCAGCCAGACCTAGAACCACTACTGACAGCAGTGTCATTAAAAACAATGTTATCATGTGGGCATAGGTTCCTGGTGTCTGTGGTTTCTATGCTGTTCTGGGTCAGTAGGGTCAGAAAACCCATACACTCTAGTTAAAGACTCTTGGAGACAGTGTTCCTCATTCAGTGCCCATACCTTGACTGGCATGCTGTTCAGGAAATATGAGACCCTCTGTTCAGGACAGAAGAGTTCTGAGAGAAAACAACTCCCCAGAACAGACTGGGCTCCCCCTTGGATAAAGGACTCTAGAAGGTAGTTTTTCTTTTATGCGCACTGCCTCAGCCGCAATACAGCATGTGGTGAATGAACAGCTCCTCTAGAGGATGGAGGATGTGACTCAGTGGAGCAGCACCAGCCCAGCATGCTCAAGCCTGGCTTGGATACCCCTCCCCCTCCAAAAAATAAAACATTTCTCTAAACACACCACACCCACCCCTCCCCATAAAAAATGCACTCCTAGCCAGGCACGGTAGCACATGCCTTTAATCTCGGCACTCAGGAGGCAAAGGCAGGTGGAGCTCTATAAGTTCAAGGTTAGCTCGATCTTCACAGCAAGTTCCAGGCCAGCCAGTGCTACATAGTGCGACCCTGACTCACACCCAGCCAGTGCTACATAGTGCGACCCTGACTCTCTCTCTCTCTCTCACACACACCCATGCACACACTCCTGGGGCTGGGGGCATAGCTCAGTTGGTAGAGTGAGTTTGATCCCCAGGCTCCATGTTTAAAAAAAAAAAAAAATCAGCGCTGCCGTGTTGTTTATAATCCAAGTGCTGGAGATGCAGAGGTGGGGGTGGGGTGGGGGGTCCCTGAGACTCACTGGCCAGCCAGCTTAGCCAACTTGGAAGGTGTGAGACCACTTGAGACACCATCTCAAAAACTAAAAAGTGGAAAGTGCTTGAGAAGCAACACCCAAGGTAGCCCTCTGATTTCCATACGTAGGTGCGCCACACACATAGGTGTGTACATATGTGCGCCTGCACATGTGTACACAGTGCACCTGAACACATCTATACATATACATACATGTGTACCTGCAAACACACATGTGTACACACACACTCCTTTTCTACTTCTTGGACTAAAACCATTACGGGTATTTTCTCAAGAACAGGGATTCCCATATCCCTCATGAGGCTTCCACAGTCTCTCCCAAGAGCTAGCCCCCCCCCGCCCCCCCCCATCAGAGAGCAGTAGCCATGACAAGGCACAGAGGGTGGCCTCACAGGGAAGGCACACTGCGCAGCATGGATTTGCATATATTAAAACAAGCGTCTCCTGGAGGAGGGGAGGGAGGCTCTGAAAGCCTGAGTAGCTTGGGCACAGACAACAGCTGACAAGAGATGGCACCAGGACACAGTCAGGTGGGGACAGCAGCCTTGGCCTCTGGCCTCTCTTTAACACTCCTTTTCCAGAACTGGGGCTGTCTGCCTCAAGGGTAGAATCCCTGGACTTAATTTTCAATTGGTCCAAGGCAAGGATTAGGGGCCATCAGCTCCATTCTATGCCTGCACAGGTCTGAGTGTCTGTGGCAGTTTCCTACCAGATGACAAGTGACTAGACCACAGGATCCTTTGTGGGCTGGCCGTGCTGTCTGGGTGTGTGTCTCCTGTCAGCCAGCTCCTCCCTCTCTTCCGTCACACTTCTTTTAGCTTCTTTCAGCAAAGTCTACACACTAAACTGCCAGCTCCCATGACCTTTTACATACAGAAACAAAGTTGACCTTGACTCATATCAAAGTGCCTGCACCCCGGCTCCAGGCTCACCCCAGGGACCTCCTCCAGGGGAGAACTATTCTCTCTAGTTCCACAGATTCATTTGCCCCATTCTGGGGTTCCCGTATAGAATTGTGCTTAGCTGTTGGCTTCCCTCAGCTTCCACCAGCGAGGGTTTATGTAAACCCAACGCAAAGCCCCAAAATCAGGGTCTGTGTCTATGTAGTACATGTGTGAAAAGACACGCAGGGGAGAAAGAATTAGGTGTGGGGGTATAGCTCAGTGGTACATCTCTTGCCTGGCATTCATAAGGCCCTGTGTTCAATTCCCAGCCCCACCCTGTGTGTGTGTGTGTGTGTGTGTGTGTGTGTGTGTGTGTGTGTTGCTGGGGATGAAATACGAACCCTCATGCATCACTAGTGGGAATATAAGAGGCTATGTAGCCTCTGTGGAAAACAGCTGAGCAGTTTCTCAGACTTAGAGCTACTATGGGCTCTGGCAAACCCACTCTGGCATATCCAAGAATTGAAAGCAAGGACTCAGACACCTGTGTCTCCACATTACGACACATTTTTCTCAGGTTAGAAAATGTGAAACCACCCAGATGTCCGTCAACAGAGGAGCGGATATAGAAAATGTGTTGTGGGGCTGATGGGAAGGCTCAGCAGGTAAGGGCGCGTGCCGCCAACGCTGACCACCTCAGTTTGAGTCCCCCAGCACCCACATGGTAGAAGGAGAGACTGTCTCAACTTGTCCTCTGACTTCCACACGTGCTTATGAGGACAAATAAATAAATGTAAAAAGAAACGCACTGTCTACTCAGCAGAACAGCATTCAGTATTAAAAGGGAGCAAACTTTGGATGTGCATTCCCGCATGAGTGGGTCTGGAAAACATGATGCTAAGGGAAAGAAACCAGGCACGGAGGGTCAGATGCTGTGCAATTCTACCTGCATGAGACGCCTAATAGTCATAGAGACAGAACAGTAAGTCAGAGGTCACTGGAGGATGGGGAATGGGGACTTTGCATTTAATGGGTTCATTTACTGGGGATGATGTAAAGTTTTGGGTGTGGATGTTGGTGATGGCTATACAATACTGAACGAATTTAATGCCACCAAACTATGTACTTACAAGCAGTTAAAATGGTAAATGTATTTTGTGTGTGTCTCTCTATATAAATACATATTTTTCCTTTTTTTTTTTTTTTTTTTTTTTTTTTTGAAGATCTCCCTGTAGCCCATAGCCCCAGCTGGCCTGGAACTCACTATGTAGACCAGGCTGGCCTTGAACTCACAGAGATCCGCCTTGCCTCTGCCTCCCAAGTGCTGCGATTAAAGGCATGCGCCACCATGCCTGGCTTTGTTTTTTATTTTATGTTTGGGTGTGTTGCCTGCATGTAGGTAAGTGCACCTGTGTTGTGCAATGCCCATGGAAGAGGATGTTGGATCCCCTGGAACTAGAGTCATGGACAGTTGTTAGCTGCCATGTGGGTGCTGGGATTTGAACCCGGGTCTTCTCAAGAACACTCACTGTTCTTAAGCACTGAGCCATCTCTCCAGCCCCTTATTATTTTTATTTTATGTGTATGAGTGTACTGTCTGCGTGTATGTAAGTGCACCCGTGTTGTGCAATGCCCGGGGAGGTCAGAAGAGACCCTGGAACTGGAGTTACAGACAGTTGTTAGCTGCCATGTGGGTGCTGGGAACTGAACCCAGGTCCTCTGCAAGAGCAGCCAGTGCTCTTAACCTCTGAGCCATCTCTCTCCAGCCCCTTTCTTTTTTAAACAACTCAAAAAAAGAGAGGGACCACCAACAAACCATGAAGGAGCCCAGAGGACAGCTGCATTTGCCCAGGAAATCCTCCGGTTTCTGTTCAACACCAGACCTGGAGAAAGGACAAAGCAGATGGTCATGGGCTGAGGGAAGGGACTCACCTGGCTTCCCTGGGAAGCCCCAGTCTTTTTAGCCAGGGCTCCTGTCTTCCATCTGGGCTGGTGAACGGCAGCTATCAGTCAGCTCTGGCCTTGTTCTGGGATTCTGTTGGAGCAGAACTTGGCCAAGGTCACCTGACCACAGACCAGCGCAGTCCACACCGTCTCCCCAAGGCCCTGAGGAACGGTGCAGGATGACAGTGGAGACAATGAAGTGCCCCCCCCTCCCCGCCCAGTGTCTCACTAGCCTGTAACTTGCCATGGAAACCAGGCTGGCTTCGAACTCACAAAAGTCCTGTCTCCCGAGTGCTAACACAGAAGGCGTCACCATCACGCCTGGCTGTAACTCTCGTCTCTGAGGAACAAACCGTATTTGGATATTTAAACACCGGGAAGTAGCAAATAACTGATACCATGGCACTCCTTGCTAAAGAGAAAAGATGCTTTAGAGGAGTGAAGCCTGGGGGTCGTTCAGTTCAGGCTAGAACTTGGCCCTGCTGTGACCCAGATGGTGAGTGACTCAGCCCACCTAGGAAGGATGGGCACTTAGCAAGGCCCTCCTGGGCCACATCTATGCTGCCCAGAGAAACCTGTGCATGAGTCGGGAGTGGGGGATGGGGCACATCCTCTGCCATCCTATGGATGCTCTCAAGCCTTGGAAGTTTCCAGGTGCTGGCAAGGGTAGAGGAGCAAACTGTGGAACCAACTACAGGTGTAGGCGTAGGGGGAGGCTTCCAGCAAGTGTGTCTGCTCAAGCTCTTCGCCCACACAGCCACCTAGGAAAAGAGAAGCCAGATTCCAGCTGCATTCTGCAATGGGCTGGGTCCCTGATGGACTAAATATTTAAATGAAAATACTAAGGCTTCAGATGCCAGAATCAAGCAAGAATTTTCAATGATTCAAATTCCAGAAGCCACAAAAAAAGACATGTCCAATTGCAGGAACAAAGTTCTGCCTTGCAAGAAAGCAGAGGGCCCATCCTAAGCCAAGTAGCTCTAATGACAACTTGGGGAGAGGTGTTTACAACTCAGTGTCCCCAACACAGAAAAATTCTTAAAACTGAGCTAGGACCAAGGACTACATAGAGACGAGGGCAGATATCTGCCCTGTGCCTGCCACTTCTAGTTCTAGAACCTTCAAACCAAATGAGTTCCCTTTCTTTTTCTGCAACGTTGGGGATGGAACCCAGGACCTCATGCATGCAGGGCATGAACTCTGTCACTGAGCTATACCCCAACCTTTCAATTTCTATTTTTCTCTTTATTTTCTCTATTTATTTTTCTCTTTTTTAATTTTTAAAAATTATTTTATGCCGGGTGTGGTGGTGCACGCCTGTAGTCCCAGCACTTGGGAGGCAGAGGCAGGTGGATTTCTGTGAGTTTAAGGCCAGCCTGGTCTACATAGTGAGTTCCGGGACAGCTGGGGCTACAGGGAGACCCTGCTTCAAAATGAGCAAAAAAAAATTTTTTTTTCACATGTATTGCCTGCATGTGTGTAAGTGTACCCATGTTGTACAGTGCCCATGGAGGACAAAAAAGGACATCAGATATCCTGGAACTGGAGTTTGGATGGTTGTTAGCTGCCATGTGGGTGTTGGGAATGGAACCCGGGTCCTCTGCAAGAGCAGCCAGTGCTCTTAACTGCTAAGCCATCTCTCTAGCCCTCTAATTTAAAATTTATTTTTATTTTACACGTATGAGTGTTTTCCCTACACGTATGCATGTGCATGCAATGCCCATAGAGGCCAGAAAAAGGTGTCCAATCCCTGAGAACTGGAGTTAAGGACAATCGTTAGCTGCTATGTGGGTGCTGGGAACTGAACCTGGGTCCTCTGCTGAGCCGTCTTTCTAGCTTCCTGTGATCTTTCTTAAACCATATGATTTAGAACCTGCTAAAAAAAACCAAATAATATTAAATTTAAAAAAGCAAAACCAAATGAGTCCCTTTGGAAAGGCCTCAACTCCATAGGGATGTTTGTCGGGGAAGTGGGTAGGGGTGGGCGGCATCAGGCTGCCCCACTGGAAAAGCAATGTGTGACTCTAGATGCTCTCTCAGAAAGAAAGCAATTATGGAAACATTAAGGAAAGCTATTTTCTGTAATTATTAGGTTTTTCCCTCTAATTAGAGATTATGGAACTCTTAGATGATAAATTTAGATGATAAATGGAATGCTTAATTGTTGATAGAGGTTCTAGCCAGACATTTGTGACTCAGGATGCTTAGAGGACCATGTAATTGAGAGATTTTCTGGTTGCTACACTCTCAGATCACCAAGGCCTAATGAATCCAGAGGCCTCTGGGCCACCCTGGGCCGTCACCTGATCTCTCTGCTAGATGGATGGGCCCTCCCAGCCTTTCAGGGTAAGAGTCCACCCAGGCTTCTGTGTTCTTCTAGGTCTGGGCTCTGGCTGCTCAAAAGATGTAAAAATATCTCAGAGAAGGGGTTCTCAGGGTGGGGAAGATGGCTCAGTTGGTAAGGTCCACTTATACTTTTATAAGGACCTGAGTCTGGTCCCCAGCAACATAAAAAGCCAGGCATGGAGGCATGCGCCTGTGATCCCAGTGTTGGGAAAGGGGACGAGGAGCCCTGGGCCTTGTTTCCATCCAGTCCAGCTGAATCCATTCAGTGAGCAACCCTGTCTTAAAAAATAAGTTGGAGAGCAATTGAGGAAAACACCTGACATCAACTCCTGGCCACCACACATATTCGTACATGCTTAGGAGCACAAACACATATGTATACCACATACATACAAAAGGTGGGTTTCTCTTGGGATTAGGGTGGTCCTTTAGACATCAAGGGAGGGGCTAGAGAGACGGCTCAGTGGTTAAGAGCACTTGCTGCTCTTGCAGAGGACCTAGGTTCAATTCCCAGAACCCACATCAGTCAGCTCATCACAATTGCCTGTAACTCCAGCTGCAGGGGGTCCAACAATCTCTTCTGGCCTCCACAGGCACCAGGCAGGCATGTACATGGTGCACATACACACATGTAGGCACTCACACGTACATATTAAAGATATCCAGGGACTCTCACTGCATTGTCTTCTCTGCCTTGAGGCCTTGGTCCCTTCCTCCACTAGCACAATTGCCACCTGCATGGGCCGCCCAGCACCTGTGGTCATTACTTGCTTTTCTGTCCCTAGTAGACAGGGAGGACTTCCTGTGGGTAGGAGCTGGGTCTCACTTGTCTGCGTTTCTCAGACCTAGAGATTTCTCAGACCTAGGGATGCACCGTTCAGTTCCATTCAGAGTCCACAAACACCAAATGGCCAGGAGTCTGTGCTAACCGAGCTTGTTTAATTCCCTGGACATCCACAGGGAGACAGATGTTAACAAAGAGGATCAAGCCCAGACAGCCCCAGCAGGGCTGGACCAGAGGCAAGACTCCACGAAAGTACCCTGTAACCTCTCATACTGGCCTAGACAGCTGGTGGTGACAGGGGTGGTGGTGGTGGGGTACTTCAAGGGTTTGAAATCCCTGAAAAGGTATAAGAAATAAATGTTTTCTAGAAAGCAAAGCAAAGGTCTTAGTGGAGCTCAAGGAGTGACCTGCTCACAGCCAGGAACTATAAACCAAGTCATTTCCATCTCCAGGGCCCCTAACCCAAGCTCAGGATGTCAAGGAGTCAAACCCACTTGGCTCCCCGCTCCCTTTCCTCGCAAGCTGCCAGACAGTTATTCTAGAACTCGACATCACTGTGCTACACTCTTAGACATCAGGGCCTCAGTATACCAAAGGGCCTCACTGTCCCCCTCGAAGATCCTGCCGCCCCCCAGACTTGCTGTCACCCCTCCCCTCTCCTGTGATCCCCCCACACAGAAGACTCCCACTCAGCACCTGAGACATGACCCCACAACCCATGTATCCCCAGGCTTGGGACTGACACCCTCACTCTAGAGACAAAGGAAACTGGCTGCAAAGTGGACATTATCATCTGACGTCTGTCTCACAGGCCAGAAGCCCTTTATGAAATGGGAGACCCTGCTGGGGCCCCCTGGCTTCAAGCTCTTGGGAATAAGACGAAGATGTCCCTCAAGGATACAGCTAGCCACTGTCAGATGGCCCCCTAACTGTGTCAGTGGGGAAAATTCCATCTTAGGACAGGAGTGGAGAGTTCCTAAGGATAGTGGCTTAGCTTCCAGGGGTCCCCAGTAGAAGGATGCTGTCTTAAATTCTAGTGACCTCTAAAACACCTTCATCGAATAATGCCAGAAAAGCAAAGCACAGCCAGTATGGGCTCCCTGCCATCTTACCCATGCCCTGGATAGAAAAAGAGCTTAGACTGGGTTGGATCCACGTGAGCCCAAGCACAGACTGATGCTGGACTCTGCTTGGTCCAGCCCCTGGCCCTGTGGCCCCCAGTAGCCCACTGTTTCCCACCCTTAGCTCATAGCTTTCTGACAGGTCCTCGCTCCAGTGGAACTTCTGTCATCCTGACGCTTGTTTGACCCCTTGAGCAGTGCCCCTGTCAGGGGGGACCATTGATGTGGTGCATGTTTCCCCTTCCCAGGCTGTATTCTGGGAGGGACGCTCCCTACCCACTCTTTTACCCCAGAGTAAGGCTGCATACCCCTACTGGTGAGGGTGGGGACAGACTCAAGACTGACTGGGCAGATGTGCCAAATGTTGAATGGATGGGGGACATTCACCTGGGTTAGAAAGAAGCCTTAGATCTGTCCTCTCTGGCCTCAGTTTCCTCATTTTCAAACAAAGAGGGCCCCTGGGGTCAGTGAGATGGATCAGCAGGTAAAGGTACTTGCCATCAAGACTGACGATCTGAGTTCAGTCCCCAGGACTCAAATGGTGGAAGGAGAAAACTGACTCCTGCAAGTTGACCTCTGACTTCTACATGGGTGCTGGGGTGGTGTGTGCGTGTGTGCGTGTGTGTGTGTGTAATTAAGAACAGAACAGACACCAAAGAGGTCTGTGATGGATTGCTGAAGAGCCTCAGTTGTCAACGACACACCTGGGAAAAGGGAACTTCAATTGAGTCCACTTCCTCCACTGCATGCGCCTGCAGCCATGTTTGTGAGGCATTTTCTCAACTGCTAATTGATGTGGAAGGCCCAGCCCACTGTGGGAGGTGCCACCCCTGGGCAGGTGGTCCTGGGTCGTATTAGAAAGCAAAACGAAGGACTGGAGAAATGGCTCAGAGATTAAAAGCACTAGCTGCTCTTGTAGAGGACCTAGGTTAGGTTCCCAGCACCCACATTAGCTAACTCCGGTTCCAGGGGATCTGATGCACTCTTTTGACCTCCACAGGTATTGCATGATATAGGTGCATTTACATACACACAGGCAAGACACTCATACACATAAAATTAAAATATTTAAAGAAAGAAGTCAGGCTGAGCCCAGGCCAGGGGAGCAAGCCAGTAAGCAGCGTTCCTCCATGATCTGTACTCCAGCTCCTGACTCCAGGTTCCTGCCCTGCTTGCCCTCAGTGAGGAACTATGATCTGGATATGCAGGTCAAACAAACCCTTTCCTCCCCAGGTTGATTTTGGTGTTTACTAGAAAGCAGACTAAGACTTGAAGGCCCACACACAGAACCCCTGGCTCTCTGTGGAGGTCTGCCTTCCCTTCCCCACCTTCCCTTCCCCTCCCCTTCTCTGCCTAACTTCCCACCTAGGAGGCCCAGCTGTCTGAGGCATGGAAGTGAATTCCACTGCCCCTTCCCTGTCTCTGTTGGGACTTGCCAAGGTCACAGAGGCAGATGCCAGTAGGGCCCAGCAGAGCAGGCACAGTGCCCGTGGACATGGGCTGTGGAGCCTCTGGCTGGTTATTGCCTGTGGGGACAGAGAAAGTGCTGCCAGATCTCTCCAGTTTTTAAAAGCAACAAGAAATCTCTGCTTTTACACAAAACCTTTCTTTTTCAAATACAGGCAACCTATTCAGAGACCCTGTGCCAAGTGTTTCTGTTGAACTGCGAAAGCCAGACAAATCTGCTTGTGACTGAATGCAGCCAGGCCTGCGCGGGAGTTTTAGCATCCCGGGAGGAGAGGAGAACAGGGTTTCCTTGGGCAGAGGTTGACGCTGCTTTCCTTTTTTCCTTAGGGGACCTAGACAGAGCTGGGTTCTCCCTCCCTCCTGCACAATACCTCCAGCCAGTATTGTTTTGTTCATGTTGTTGGTTTGAATCTCATTGTATAACCCAGACTAGCCTCAAACGCACTCTTCCTGCCTCAGCCTCCCGGGGTTACAGGCGTGCACCCCACACCTGTTTAAAGCAAGTGTTGGGCTATGGACTGGAATGTTTATGTTTGGACAAGAATGTAAACAAGGCTACACCTCCTGGCTCCCTGCCCATTCTGTGAATCTTGCTGGTTCAATCGACTGTGGCCTTAGATCCTGGCTTTGCTGGGAGTACCCTTTGGCCAGAAGTGGGAGCCTAAGGGCTCAGTGGATAAGAACACTGACTGCTCTTGCAGAGGACCTGGGCTTGGTTCCCAACACCCAAATGGTGAATAATAACTGCCCTAAACTCCAGTTCCAGGGGATCTAACATCCTCTTCAGACGTCCATGGGCATTGTACAACATGGATGCACTTATATACATGCAGGCAATACACTTATACGAATAAAAAATAAAAATAATAAAATACTTAAAAAAAATGAAATGGGTGCCTAAGACCAGCTCCCTCATCTGTACTACTCAGACCAGAAGTCACCTTCGCCCATGAATGGCCGACCTAGACCTCTGTATGTAAAAGATAACCTGTCCCTGACAGGGTGTGCTACCTACAAACCCCAACAGGACTTACTGTCTCCCTCCTGGCCAGCAGGAAGATTCCACAACTTGCCCAGACCCCACAGGCACTCAGGATTTTGACACCTATGTCATTTGGTTCTTTAGAAACTGAAGTCCCATTCACAACCTTGCTCGAGCCTATCAGCTTATGAAGGCAAGAATCTCAAGACCTTGGGGCTGAAGAGATGGCTCAGAGGTTAAGAACACTGGCTGTTGCAGCAGACCCAGGTTCGAATCTCCGCACCCACATGGCACCTAACAGCTCTCCGTAACTCCAGTTCCAGGGACAACCTCTTCTGTCCTCCACAGGCATTGCATAACACAGGTGCACTTACAGGCAATACACGCATACACATAAAATAAAAATAAATAAAATATTTTTAAAAAAAGAATCTCAAGACCTTGTCAGTCAGCTGAGAAAAATAGGGAATCTAAAGGGAAGGAGCCTCCCAGGGCTGCTCAGCTGGTGGGGTTGAGACTCGAACTCTGGTCTTTGTGTCTGATCTGATGCACTTTTCTATCATCTGCTCCAAGTTTTCCCTCGACTGGGAGCAGCTTCTGGGACCACCCTCTAAAGCAGGGCTCCAAGAGTCCTTTCCAGAGCATTCTGTGATTGTCTATTGGTTTGTCTGTCTACCTGCTGTAATAGTTAATCTTGAATAGCAACTTGACAGGATTTAGAATCACCATGGAAACAAACCTCTGGGCAGGTCTATGAGGGAGTTTCTAGATAGGTCAATTGAGGTAGAAAAGCCCACCCTGATTGTGGGCTGTACCATGCCGTGGCTGTGGTCCTAGACCCAATAACGCGAGATGGACTTGAACCAGTGTCCAGTCTACAAAGAGGAGGGTCAACACAGAGGAAACATTTCTTCCATGCTTCCAAGCAAAGTCAGCCATGGTCGAGCAGGACCTTTGACTTATCTTCACACAGGCGGAACTGGTAAAAGAAAGGAGCCAGGGGCTCCTCCCAAGCCCATGTGACCCCTGAGGAAGAGATCATCAAATGACCTTAAGAGTAAAAATAAATTGGTTTATCTGGGCCACTGTATCTCCCAAAAGGAGATACCTTCTTTTTAACTGTTGGCCAGGGTGGCCCAAGGGACTCCCAGATAGTAACCCAGCATAGATCTGGGAAAACAAACAGCAGACCCCAATCTTACCTAAAGGAACACTGACAACTGATTGCTGCTAGAAGAGGAACAGCTGACCTTCCTAAAACAAAGATCTCTAGATAGGCTGACTAGATTCACCAGATGGACAAGTGGTGGGGAACGGCTTGGGGTGCCAACAACACAGCAGACAGTAGCAGGAATAACAGAGTATAAGGGCTCTAGTCGCGGAGGGGAGGCTATGGGAGGGTGCCATCTGGGAAGTGGGTGTATAGGTGAATAAGATGGTTTGGGATGTTCTGTGTGATACACACACACACACACACAAAATCAACAAAAAAATGAATTATATTTGAGGAGGAAGCATAAAAATTTATGTCATGTTAATTAGTAGAGGTGATGAACATTACCATTGAAATCTACCCGATGACCTTATGGACATATACAGGTGCCAAGGATTTGAGTGCAACCCACTATGACTAGTATTAATCAGATACATACAGATTAGAGACACATGCACCAACATCTAAGCATTATTAGCAAAAACAACGAGCCTTTCTGTAAGAAACAGTATATTTTAACTTCAACAGTGAACCTAAACATAACCACTTTTGAAAGAGATGTATCTTTGCTCTGGAAACGGTTACTGAGTATGTTAAAGCTGTAATGAAATGCTTCTTCTAAAAAATTATATATAATGTAGGAAACAGCATATTTTAAAATGAAATGGAGATCTTCTTTAAAGGGCAAAAACTCATTCAATTTTATATCTTACAGGGTTTATACTGAGTTCAATATTGCATAACTGTATTAATTCAACAGCAAACCTAAAAATTTTATAGCCACTTTTGAAAGAGATGTATCTTTACTCTGGAAACTGTTATTCAATTGTCAACTTCAAAACCCAGAACCCAGGTGAGAATTCTCCTTGTGATAGCACATACTTGTCAACTGGAGAAGTAGAGACAGTGAGGCAGAAAATGCTCCTGTCTGAAGTGGCTGGAGCCAGGGCACCTCCAAGGCTAGCTCTTCTGAAAACCTTTTCTAGGTCACTTTCCTCCCTCCCTGACATCTTCACAATTTCTGTATAGACCCAGTAGGGCATGACAGACACCAACTTAGTCCTAAGACACCTGCCAACCTCTCCACAGAGTGTGGCTTTCTGCAATGGCTGTGTGGCCTTGCACGAGGCACTGTCCAGTTGATAGCCTTAGTTTCTCCTCGTATATGGATGTGTGTGAGTCAATGACACTTTGCAGGCACCACACATCAGCTCAGCCCATGCAAGGCCTCTGTGCGTCATTCTACAGTCAGACAGTGACAAGTTGCAGTGACACGGACAGTAAGTCCCTTACCTGTGGCCACTTTTGTGGTTCCTCTCTGCAGGAGGAGCTCCCCACACTCTTTATCCACATGAGTATTGTTCTTCAAGAACCTGGGGGAGACAGAAAGACACTGAAGGCCCCAGTTCGGCCCAAGGATCAGACAGAAAGGAGAGGGGCAGCTAGGTGTTGGCGGTGTGCATGTCTATAGTCTCAGCACTTGAGAGGCTGAAGCAGGAAGATCCTATGTAGTGAGTTCAAGGCCAACCTGAGTTATATCAAAACACAGGCTTTGATAGCCAGCACTACATTGTAAGTTCAAGGCCAGCTTGAGTTATATAGAAACCCTGGCTTCAAAAAAACCAACCAAATGCTGGACATGGTGGCACACGCCTTTAATCCCAGCATTTGGGAGGCAGAGGCAGGTGGATCTCTCTAAGTTCAAGGCCAGCCTGGTCTACAAAGCAAGTTCCAGGCCAGCTGGGGCTACAGGGAGACCCTGTCTCAAAAAGACAAAAACAAAACAAAAAACAAACAAAAGCCAAAACAAATCAAGAGTTAGAGATGTAGCTCAGAGGTAGAATTCTTGCCTAGCATGCAAAAGGCCCTAGATTCAATTCCCAGTACAAGGAGGGAAAGAGAAAAGGAAGAGAGACAGGGAAGGAAGAAGGCAGAGAGGAAGTTATCCATGAAGGATGCAGATGTGGCCCATGTATCAATGGTATGTTTACAGCATCAGTGTGTTTGTCTGTGACTGTGTGTGTGTGTTGGGACGGGGGGCGGGGGGAATGCCCATTCCTTTAAACTATAAATATTTGCAGAGCCCTGTCCTGCTATGCACACTGCCAGATGCTGGAAGTACATGTATGACCAGGGCAGTCCCAGTCCTTGCCCATGATTGTAGAGCTCAAAGACTAAGGAGACAAGACCTCATGGTTGCTTCCAGAATGGGGGACACCAGTCAGCTGCAGTTCTGAGTGGGAGAGAGAGGGAGAACTGCGGGTAAAAGGTAAAAGCAAGCATGGATGATGGCACACATCCTTTAATCCCAGCAATTAGGAGTCAGAGGCAGGCGGATCTCTGGGAGTTCCAGGCCAACCTGGTCTATGTAGCGAATGTAGGCCAAGCAGGGCTACTTAGACTCAGTAGGAGGAGGAAAATGTTGGCCCCCAAAGGGAAAAAAAGTAGGAGAAAGTGTACTTGAAGGGAGAGGAAAAGTCCGTTTCCCACAAAGCATGGGAGAGAGGGTTGGTCCAACCGAGGGCTGAGCAAAGGTTGAAAAAGTCCCCACTGGGGCTTCTGAGGGCTGCTCTGGAGGTCTGGTGCTCAGTGCCACCCGGGGAAGCAAAACTGGACAGAAGCAATGAGAAGGGGGAAGGAGAAGGGGAGGAAGGGGAGGAAGAGGAGAGAGAAGGAGGGGGAGGGGAGGGAAAGGGGGAAGGAGAAGGGGAGGAAGAGGAGGAAGAGGAGAGAGAAGGAGGGGGAGGGGAGGGAAAGGGGGAAGAGGAAGGGGAGGAAGGGGAGGAAGAGGAGAGAGGAGAGAGAGGAGGGAGGAGGAAAAAGGTGGGGGGGGGAGAAAGAAGAGAGAGAGGCGGGGAGGGGGGAAGGAAGGGGGAGGGGTAAGGGGAAGGGCTTCTCTCAGCCTCAGAGGGTTCCTGGCAGTGCACTGCAGTCCCCTGTCCTGCTGCTGCCACTCACCATCACAGCAGCTCCTCCAGGCTGTACACCCTCAGGGGCTTCTGGGAGGCCTCCACCTGCAGCGTGTTCTCTCTGGTTCTCCGCTGGTAGGTTGGTATGTTCTCCATCTCCTACGGATTCATCCAAAGCTGGTGGGAGGGCAGCCCCAGATGAGGAGTCCCAGCTCTTCCCCTGACCCCATCCTCTGCCCTCAGCGCCCCTCTAAGGGATCAGTGAGCACATGCCAGACTAGGGACAGCTGGAGGGGCCGGGTGGGATGATGGAGGAGGGGACATCTCTGTTACCTGCTAAGTGCTTTGCAGAGGTGTGATTCTAGGGTACCACATCTGGGGCCACTGAGGACAGGCAATTTCACTGAGTTCATTCAAGGTCCTCATTGTCATTACAGGTAGAGGGAGGCAAGGTGGGCAGAGGGAGTCTAGGGTTCTACTTTGCCACACCCCACTCTCACTTCTGCGACTGCAAGAGGACGAGCAGGCTGTGGAGTTTTTCAGTTCACTGCTCCACTCAGCCTCAGCCAGGAGGAAGCCCTGGGGCTCTGCTTGAACAGCCAGTGGCATAATACAACCAGGAGGGCAAAAGCCAGCACAGTCTGTAAGGAGCGGGGAGCTCACTGGGCTGTGGCCCAGAACTTCCACAAGCCACGGTCCTTTCCTTATCCACCTGCTGTTTCACAATCTACTGGACCCACCCGCAGAGTCCAGGCCACACATGGGACTTCAGAAGATTCCCTACACTTGTCCCTGGCACACCTAGGGGCACGAGCACAGGGCACTGCCCTCTCTAGAGGACCCCAGGCTAACTTATCCACCTTTTGCCACCTCCTCCTACCTCCCTACTGTCTACCACAGAGATGGGGCTGAGGGCAGCCCCTGGGGTGGGGTGGGGGGTTCCCATGACAGCCTGTATGAAGTCCCTTCTTACATTAGTGTCCAGGATAAATGGTGTCACATCCAGCAAGATGAGTTTATCCATGAGCTCAGATAAGAGAACTGCAAGAAAACACCAAAGGGAAGAGTCAGCGGGGGGACACAGGCCCCTTCCCTGGTGACCTTGGCATTTCCAGAAACATCTTTTAGGCCGGGGATAGGGTGCTGACCAAGAGACCACAACAAGCATGGCATTCGTCCGTGTGCCTCTCCTGGATCCGGGAGTCTTGAAGATGGCAGAGGAGGAATGCAGAAACTCTACCAGACTAACACCAGGTCTCTTCACAATGATGCTGATGACTCTGATTCCTGTGAGGAACTGAGGCACCACCAACTAAGGAGGTGCTGGCTGCCAAGTCTTGAAAAGGGGCCGTTCCTGTCCCACCTCCCTCTTGTCCCCACTCCTGGGGCCCCCAGATGATCAGAGAACAGCCAGTTACCTCACCATGCTGGCCACAGTTCCACCTGCAAGACATAAAAGCAGACGCTGACATCCGGTGATCCCATGTCAGCTCTCAACACCCACACCCTCCCGAAGTGCTTTCCCAAGAGCTCCCCTGGCTCTACAGTCTGGGGTCCAGGTCCCTCTCTCATTATGCGCTGGGCCTCTGCGTCTCAAATTAAGAGCCCCTCCCTGGGCCACAATGGCCACTTTATCAGACATCACTCACAAGATTACCCCCTCCCTTACCAAACTGGTGGACAGTCACTTTCAGGTCACATGTTTCTGAGACCAGAGGGCATAGTCCCCTAAGGCGAATGTTCGCAGATTTTCTTATCACTCCTCAGAGGAACAGGGGAAAGTACCACTGTGCCAACTTCTCTTCCTCCCTACAATCCTCCACAGAACTCAATCAGGTGTTGACCAAAGCTACTCACCAAAACTGTGGCCCACGAAGGAGACCTTAGTCAAGTTAAAGGCTGAAAACACAGAAGCAGGTTTGCATGGGGCAGCCTTACCCTGCCCGTTTTCCTGGGCCCCTGGGCTTGAGAAGTCCCTCCAAGCACCTGTGCCACAATCCCCCCTCCTCAGAAAAGACCAGCACGGGCGCAGCTCAACTGCACGAGAACCCCACTGAAGGAAGCAAGCTCTTTTCAGACCTCAGGCACCAGCGCTGCCTCCTGGACACCAGATCCCACTTCTAGGATGAGAGGGGATGCCACAGAGCCCCCTCCCTCCATTACACTCACTTTGCCTCTTGCTCACCTGCCACCACCCTTCTGATCTCAAAGTTTTGGTGGTGATAAGGGAACCCAGGGCTATAATGGGAGGAGAGCCCATGACCCCCAAAACCCATGGCCACATAATGGAAGTCTACAGCAGAAAGAGGAGGAAGAGATGGGGTGAGCATAGGCACTTCTCACTGCCCTCCAGCCCACAGCCCCACCTTCCGGGAGAAGAGGGATGAGCCTATCGAAAGAGTTGGCATTGTCCAGCCAGCCATGCAGGCAGAGAACGGGGGGTTCTTCTGGGAGCCCCAGGCTTTGAGAGTGATGTGACGCCCCCCCCCCCCAGAGCAGGAGGGGGAGAAGGGGGGGTTTTTTTGGGGGCCCCGGGGTTTGAGAGGGATGTGCCGCCCCCCCCCCCCAGAGCACAGCCAGCTTCAGCTCTGAGGACATACCTGCGAACATTCCCTGCATTGGTAAAACATGGAGCCAGCATTTTCTGAACCCCTCTCTGTGGGTGCTCTGTTATACACAGGCATTGGCACTAACCTATGTCCCAGCCCTGGACAGACTGACAGACATCCTGAGGAGGGAAAGATAACTGGGTCCCCTGGGTGAGGGAGATCTGAGGAGGCTTTTCAGGATGTATCCCATTGGTACTGGGGCAGAACTTGAAAGAGTGGGTTCAGGGCTGGCTGGCTTGAACCATGCCATCTGATAACTATATAACTTGGGGCGAGTTTCTAAAACCTCTCAAGTCTCAGTTTCCTTTTATGTAAAATTGAACAGTGTACAGTGCCCTTTAACTGTGGGGGATGTACTCCAAGACCCTCCGTGGCGGTACAGAACCCCTATAATACATGCCAGTCATACCTTTCTCTATCCACATCTATGATAAAGTTTAATTTATCAATTAGGCAAGGTAGGCGATTAACAATTATTAATAAAATACAATTATAACAGTCTGTAATTGGCTGGTGTCCTGGTTTGTTTCTTCATTGCTGTGACAAAATACTCTGACCACTACCAAATTGGGGAGGAAAGGGTTTATTTGTCTTACATATCCTGGGTCACAGTTCATCCGGGAGCCCAAGGCAGGAACTCAGGGCAGGAACCTGGAGGCAGGAGCTGGAGCACAGGCCATGGAATAATGCTGCTTACTGGCTTGTTCCCCTGGCCCCTGCTCAGCTTGCTTTCTTATCCAACACAGGCCCACCTGCCCAGGGGTGGCACCACCCACAGTGTACTGGGCCCTCCCACATCACTCAACAATCAAGAAAATGCCCCACAGACATCGCCATAGGCCAGTCCAATGGAGGCAATTCCCCAATTGAGGCTCCCTCAACCCAGGTGTGTCAAGTTGACAGTAAAGCATTCAGCACAGCTGGTTATAGTGCACACCTGTCATCCCATAACTCAGGAGGTACAGACAGGAGGATCAGAAATGCAACATCAGCCTTGGCTACATAGCAAGTTGAAGGCCAGCCTGGGATACATGAGACCACAAACCAACAAAACAAATATACTATGATGAAAATGTCTGAGGTGGTCTGTCAGGTGAGAACCGGATATGGAATTCTAGCACTGAGGAGGCAGAGGCAGGAGAATCGCGGCAAGGTCAGGGCAGGCTGGTCTACAGATGGCTCCAGGCCATCTAAAGCTTCATACAAACAGACCAGTGAGAGATCACAGAGGTATGGAGCAAGATGGCCAGAGATTTTATGACATGTCTCAGAATAGTGGGTAACTTAAAACTGGTCTTGGCATTAAATATTTTGGACCCTCGAAAACAACTCTTGGAAATCCAAACTGGAGGGTCAGCCAACGTGTTCTAAGGCTCCTGAGCTTGAGCCGGCACCCAGCAGTCACACAGCTCCCACACCCAGCCTTTCACCACACGGAGCCTAGGGAGGTGGTGAACATGGAGGAGGCTCACTCTGGGAAGCATGGAGAGAGGATTTAGGGCTCAGACTAGGAGGACTCCGCGACCCCAGCAGGGAGAGGGGAGGAGGTCTACTCAGGTCATATGTGGACCAGAGCTGACCTTCAAGCTGCAGGCTCTACACCACCCCAAATAGGCATGCACACACTCCCGTAATCTAGGGGCTATCAGGACGCTAGGCGACCATCCATGGCAGCGTCTGGAGCCCGCACCCTCCCTCCGGTCTGGCTCTGCTGAACCCCAGGACAGAAAGCTGGGACACCCAGAAGAGGGGCACGGTGAGTGTCCCCTGCACAGGAGTAAGGGGGTAGCCACATGGAAGTTCGTACAGGGCCTCCCCCATCCCACTCGGGTCTGACGGGCCCCGGGGGGCATTTTCACCCATTGCTCTGGGTCCTTGGGGCAGTCGCTCCAAGCACAGGAGGTCCCGGGAACAGGAGGGTCTCAGGAACTCAGGTCCCGCCCTTTGCCTTTGCCCAATGACTGTCCCTCCAGGCCCCCCGGCCCCGCCCACCCGCGGTCCCCAGGACTTCTGGGTCGCAGGCTGGAGTCCCAAGCACTACAGCTGGGGAGCAGCAAAGCTCCGGGGGACACACCCTACACCGCACCAGGGGTGGGCAAGACCCTGGGAGCCCCCAGCGAGGAGAGCACCCCGCAGATCCTCAGCAGTGACCCGCACAAACCAGCTTTGATCATGGGCTGCATGGGGGGAAGGAACAAATCAATGTATAAATTGAAGGGTGTGGAGGAAACGGTCCCCAGGTGAAGAAGGATTCTAAACCATCAGCATGGAGATGATGAAGAGCCCCCAGGCGGCTCACACCTGTAATCTAGCACCCAGGAGGCTGGGGCAGGCATATGGGTGTTGGAGGCCAGCCCGGGCCACACTGCAAGACTCCGTGCCCCAGATACTTTCTGCTGCTGAGATGAAAACACTGACCAAAAGCAAGTTGGGGAGGAAAAGGTTTGTTTGGCTTATACACACCAATCACAGTTCATCATGGAAGGCAATCAAGGAAGGAACTCGGCAGGAACCCGGAGGCAGGAGCTGAAGCACTGACCATGGAGGAACGCAGCTTACTGACTTGCTCCCCTGGCCTGTGCTCAGCCTGCTTTCTTTTTTAATATATTTTGTGTGTAGGAGTATATTGACTGCATGTATGTAAGTGCACTCGTGCCATGCAATGCCTGCAGAGGTCAGATGAGGGTACTGGATTCCCCTGGAACTAGAGTTATAGCGGGTTGTTAGCTGCCATGTGGGTGCTGGGAATGGAACCTGGGTCCTCTGCAAGAGCAGCCAGTGCTCTTAACCGCTGAGCCATCTCTCCAGATCTGTTTAAACCCACACATAAAACACCCCATCATGCACTAAATCTTTTTTTTTTTTTTTGGTATTTTTGAGACAGGCTCTCCCTGTAGTGGGGCTGGCTTGGAACTCACTATGTGGACTAGGCTGGCTTTGAACCCAGAGATCCACCTGCCTCTGCCTCCCAAGTGCTGGAATTAAAGGCGTGCACCACCATGCCCAGCATGCGCTAAATCTTTTTTTTTAATTTAAAAAAATTTTTTATTTTATATGTATTTGTGTATTGCCTCAATGTAGGTAAGTGCACCCATGTCATGCAATGCCCGTGGAGGTCAGAAGAGGCTGTTGGATCCCCTGGGACTGGAATTATGGACAGTTATTAGCTGCCATGTGGGTGCTGGGATTCAAACCTGGGTCTTCTGCAAGAACAACCAGTGTTCTTAACCTCTGAGCCATCTCTCCAGCCCCACACTAAATCTTAAAAGAAGAAAAACTCACCTTTTGCATCTGGAAGTGCTGAGTAGCAAGCATTTACTGTTCATTTACTACCATTTGCTAGTTGAACTCCTGGAGGGAAGGAGTGGGATGTGATTCCCCAAGGCTTGCTGTCCAGTGGGTGAAGCACAGACCTGGGCACTGAGGAGGAAGACAACGGGCCACGTCAGGTAAGTGGAGGCTGGGAAGCGTAGGCCAGGGTGGATGAGGCTGGAGAATGACAGATTGTGACAGGACTTGAATTTGGACCTTACTGAGTGGTGGGGCTCTGGGGAGGTTAAGAGCTGGGGACGATGGTGGACTCATGGTGTAGTTGAGGATGACTTTGCACTTCTGGTCCTCCCGCCTCCACCTCCTGAATCCGGGAATTACAGTCATGCTCCACCATACCTGGTTTATGCAGTGCACACTCTACCAACTAAACTCCACTCCAAGCACAAGCAGTGGTCTCCATGAGTTCAGGAAATGCTTTGACCCCTGTGGACAAGGATCTTTACCATAGGTCCTTAGGTGGAAGGGGCATTTGGAACATGAAGCCAGCCAGGCAGGTTGGTATCTTCCCCATTTTTCCCTGGGACACATTGCCACAGGCAATGCCATATCCAGACCTGGCCACCAGTCCCCAGCCTGACTTCTGGATTGGGACCCTTTGGCTTCATACTCCCTTGGTTCAACCAGCCTCTTTAACAGACATGGCCCCTGCTGGCTCCTGTCTGTCCCTCGGGCTTGTGGCCTCAGCTGCCCTCCTGCACTCAGCCCCATCCTTGTATTCACAAAACACTCACTATCCCATCTCTCCTGCCTGCCTCTCCCCTCTCTAGTCCTGTGGCACCCCTCCCCCACCCCTGGCTGGGTGCTTATGAACGATGCCCACCCCACCCCCATGTATTATCCCGCTGCCACAGCGCCAGCTGATTTTACTTCTCTATGTGGGAATCAGGATGCTTTTTACTGCCAGCTGGAGGGTGGTCTCTCTCCCGCCGCAGTGTTGGGTGAAACTGGGGGCCCTTTTTTCTCCATTATACTATGCATACTATAGATACGCTATATTTGGCTGCAGAAATCCTGGGCTGCCCATTCTCTGTACCTGCCTCCTGTTTTCTTTCTTTTTTAAAAAAATATTTATTATTTTATGTGTATGAATGCTTTGCCTGCATGTGTGAAAATGCACCCGTGTTGTACAATGCCCAGAACAGGCAGAGCATTGGATCCTCTGGAGCTAGAGTTATCGACGGTTGTTAGCCGCCATGTGGGTGCTGGTAATTGAACCCAGGTCCTCTGCAAGAGCAGCCAGTGCTCTTAACCGCTGAACCGTCTCTCCAGCCCCCTGACCCCTCTTTTCATACATCTGAGCCTTTCCTTCCACCAAGAACACTGTTCCCCTTGGCCTTTACCATGAAAATCATACCCTTCTTTCAAGGCTGGGTTCAAAAATCATCTGCCCCAGAAGCCCTCTTAGGTCCCAGGTGGAACTTGTCTCCTTGTCTTTGTTAATAAATGCTGCTGCCTGCCTCTCACCCGACATGGGTCTGGCTGTCTCTTTGAATGCATGCCAGCTCCTTTTAAAACGGTTTCCCCCTTAGCTTCTACCAGAGGGCTTTGCACACACAGGAGGGACTCAATCAATGACTGACTATTGAGTCGGACTAAGAACTGCTAAGGGCAGGCTGCCCCAGGCTCTCTCTAGGGGTTCACACGAGAAGCATCAGC